GCATCTTCATCGAGGAGACCGACGGATAGATGTCATTCAAAGCACTGCTACAACTGCACTTTATCCCCTCGCATTTTTTTGGACAACTGCCGTCATGAACTATCTCACAGCAGATACATTCTGTTGTGCATATCCAGATCTGACATTCTGTCATCGAGGTCTCCTTAACCCAATTTCTCTATTGGACGGGTGCTATCCTTCTCCGCGCGTTTTAGGATGTATCGACAAATACACGATGCGTGAATTTGACTTCCGACTGTATGATTTTACGTGGGGTCGAGACCATAACATGGAGATCGGATGTAATGCATCATCTGCCTGTCCAAACACAATACGGTTTTTCGGAGATAACGCATGTTTGCTAGGACGCTTGACGGAGCATACACGAGCATATGAAGAAGAGGTAGCTACGCAGCTCGCTCTACCCAATTTACTGACTGTTGTATGGTGCCGTGGCGGAAGCGGATGCGGTGACAAGTGTCAAACGGAAGATTTAGCGTCGCCGTCAATGTATGTAACTTCTTGCCTTGATCTACTGTAAACAATGTAATGTTCACTGAACGGGCAAATCCTTATATCTCTTTGAATCAGATACGAGTTGTACATAATGCACTTCAATTAATGACCATAACGCCGACTGCAGTGTACGATACACACGACAATAGCGTGGTTATACCTGAAAGATTGGAAGGTCAGTGAGAAATTTAATACTGTCCATGACTGCTAGGTCGTCTGCCCGTTGACGAGTCTATTCCGCTTAACGCTATCTCTCAAAAATAGATGCCTTGTACACTTGCACGCTGCTGCCATGTAGCCTGCATTGGGATAATGGAATACGCTTGCTAATCGCGCTCCTGTGTCTGATGACGCACATGGTGCTGGCTCGTGATCCCCACTGTCAAAATCATGAATCACGCCCCTCACAATCGATATCGTAAGTCGCCCGGTTGGCTTTGTGTTATTGCGTTCTCCTTGTCGTACGTCCATTAATATCCTAATTTTTCTGTTGTGTGATTCCAATGACGCGGTGAGTATTGTCTATGCATTGAATCATTTTAATTCTAAAGCTTGACCCTTAATGTCATCGAGGATATTGAAGCCGAGATAGCTTCCCACATGGACCTTACAACCCTTTTGCTTTGGCGCAGGCTCAGTAAACGGCGTACAATCGCCATTCATAACGAACTTAAACGTACATCCTTCGCTCTTCTAACGCCATTCGTTGTCAATCCGCAAACCTTTCAACACTGTATGCTCTGTACCAGCAGCATTATCTCTGGGCCGGCAGCATTATGGTTTATTAACCGCGAAACAACCATCTTTCCGAAATGCTTGCACATCTGTGTTCCGCAAACGAATATCCACGCAATCCTCTACTACTTTGTCCACCAGTCATATGTCACCGAATTTCCCATATTCCCGACGGAGAAACGGGAGATTTTGGCAAGGGACTGTATCTTCGTCAGGCGGCTACTAACGACCACGGGCTTCTTCATCAACATATGCTGTAGTGCCTCCGAATCAGCACTGTATCCTGTTACGCATTCGTGGACAACATTGCTGATGAACTATCTCGCACTGGATAATTTTGGTTGTGCATATCCATCGCTAACTCTACAGAATCGCAGGCTCCTTATCTCCCATATTTTCACCGAAAGCGAGTATACAGATCTTACCCATTACCTTGCGCACGGATACGAATTTGGATTTCACGCATCCGACTGCGAAGACACCCCCGTGAAGCATCCCTGTCACGAATCGTGGTCCTGTTTCAGGCATTATCGCGAATTTGGGGATGGAGCCAGTCTTGCTATCACGTTTAACGGCTCGCGGGCTATCCCCGAGCATCGACCTTCCACATTTCAGCCCGTATTCGGTGTCCGTTGGCAATTCTTTGGTCCTCCATGTGATTCCCTCTGCATTGCGTGTCACCAGTCTAGTAGATGGACGTTTATTATGATGGATACTTATGAGAACTATGATGATGTACTCGAAGACAATCAATAGCCGTGAATATATCGAGATGCTCGTGACCGCATCCCTATTCATCGTAAACATACTTTATTTTTTGACATACAAATACAAGTACAGAATGATAATGTACAATATCGCAGTTTGACCTAGTTATCCGAAAAATTCACCGATCTCACCGCCACGGTCGCTCGTATCTTCATACGAATCCTCGAAATCCGTCATCATAGCGTCCCCCTTCTCCGTATCCTTGTTTTCATTATGGCAGGAAAGATTATCTGCTGATCTATAGATTCAGCCCGTTCTGTCCATTCACTTTGCCACAAAACCATACCTTGCGTGCTTGCATTCACCGCAACCTCTGTGAAGTGAACAGTCGATTCTGAAAGGCCCAATCCCGATGGGGCATAAATCGTCCCTAATGGCTTGTCTCCATAATTGACAGACCTAGTCTGGATTGCCTGCTTCGGATTTTGTCAAACCTATGTACAATCTTACCATCCTCTGACATAGGCTCACCTCACATTCATTCTTCGTCGCCAAACGAAGAACTTCACACATTGTGAATCGAACCTGCATCTCCTTATGATCACCGGTACAGAATCGCACTACCTCAATGGAAGCAGATACGTCCACGAAATCCCCATGGTTCAATATCATCAGAGAGCATAAAATTCGATGCCCTTCTTTGTCGAGGTATGCTGTCATAATACGATGCGCGACCCTCCAGCGATGATCGATTTTCTTCGCAGCCATATACCAACGGTCTGACTTTTGCAACGCACACTTAACATCTTCATGCCCAGAAGCCAACTACGTGAAGAGGTAAGATTCAAGGTCCTACTCTCTCCGAGTCAACTCACCTGTGTGAACACCCGCCGTTCCAGCTTTATCGCAGACAATTTCAATCGATGGTCCTTTCCTGTATACACTCTGAGACTCCGCAAAATAAGTTCCCTAATGCCTCGCATCGCTTCCACTTGAGCATCGAATGCAGCTGTGGCATTGTTCAGATGTAATGCCAACGTCTGTACCGCTCTCGGCGCGTCTTTCTCCTGCCTATGATGCATATAGATTTTTCAGTCGAACTGCCTATCCCTTACAATCGCTCACCTCGTCCAATTTCCAACTGCGCCTAGATTGAATTGACCCAAAAAACCTTGCAAACGAATTGTGACCGACATATTGATGCTATCGCTACTCGCCTCGAACACCGAGGGGCAATACAACAACACATGCTTAGGATGGCCGGCGTCGTCCTCTTCCGATTCGACATATGCCCACTCAAACAATTGCTCCAATGTCAATGGGACTACTCGCCAAGGTGCCAATGTCTGCCGAGTCATATCTGGCATGTTTGAATCGTAACGAGGCAAATAATCTGGGAAAAGATCGCGCGCCAGTTTTCCGCTGGCGTCTGTATCAAGATGATTTATCAGTATGTGTACGATTCAAAGTCATTATGCATAAGACTCACGCTGTATGAGTGACATTGAACAGACGGTCGCTGATGACACCACTCCTGTGGAGGCTATTGTAGAAGTGATATTCAACACACGTGCATTCCTCCCTATATCCGCGTTTTATATTTCATCGCACGTACAAGCCCGATGGCATATGGGATTTAGCTGTGGTGCGGAAGATCCCATTGGTAAGCCCAACACTCCACTCTGCTTCCGACGATCATGGTCTAGATGTCTGCTGTCTGCCACGTTTGTTATTTCCGCCGAAACCATGATTGGTCTCATTTCTTTCGTACCATCTACTCGGGTTTCATTCCCTATCCTTTTTTCTTGATATGGAGGGCATTGATCCTCGAATAACTCGCCTCATACATAATATGATTCTACCCGTCGAAACCAACATCATTGCGACAGAAGCATACCTCGATCCTTCACCACTAACAACTGACCAACTATGTCAATTTATAGACTCATCCAAGGCTTCGTATTATTTTGCAACCCTTCTAGCAATCAATATTCTATTGATGCTTTACCCCTCGATATCCATTTCGATATGGTTGCTGTGTTACAACGCTCCTCACTTGTGGCGCATCTTTTCTTTTTCTTCTCCTTGTTCCCTTTACGTTACCAGACCACGTGATCCAACACGCGACTCATCGGAGCGCAACCTCCGATTCTTTACCCAGATGACTAGAACCCCTAGTCTGGGGTTACACCGAATCCAACTCCGGACCTTCTTCTTATCACACATGCAAGACGTGCATGTATGCCTCATCTTTACCTCGTTCTGATACACGACTCGTTATCCCCATTAGTACTGATTATCTCTCACGACCTTACTCAGCTTTCTCATACATATTATTTCCTCGCCGTTACCCTGCCCAGATATCGTTTCACCTTATCTAGCCAATGAACGATCCCGCATTACTGCGTAGTACTGCAGATACCTTTTGTATAAATAGACGACCTTGTCGAGCTGGATCCCCATCTCGACCTGGTTACCATTAAACCAGCTTTTCACTTGCCTTTGACTGAAATTGACCGTTAGTAGCAGACAGCTACTACGAGTCATAAGAACGAACTCTGACCGACCTTCAGTGCGAGGACATCGCCAGAAGTGTCACTTGAACGGACTTGTGTCTTAGACTAAGACCTTGTCTCGTGACAACTCGACTTGACGCTCGTGTTTCGCTGCCGCGTAACATTAGGTCAAGATCTTATTACTCTCTGTGACTTCCTAGAGTCTAACAACGAACTACCGACCGGACCGAACCTTGAAGACTGAACGATACACCCGATTCGATTGCTAAAGCACCGTTTGAGATTACTCTGTAATTGAGGTAGCTGAAGGGATAGACTGATCACTCATCTTCGGAGAGGGGTCTGTCCGAGAGACCAATAGGCCGAGGAGGCTGAGGTAATCACTCGAGCAATCAGCAAATAGGTGTATCAGTTTGAAGGCAGAAGACACTCTACGGGCTTGTTAGCCGACGACGAACGAACCCACTTAGTTAAGGACGGTGTGCAGTCTACGTGTAGACGTAGGCCACACAGGGGAATTTATCCATGCTGGATTTGAACTTTATCAACCCGACTGCTCTTCCCAAGCAATACATCGATCTCCTCCCATCTCAGGCAGAGTGGGACGCACAGAGGAACGTACACGTTTTAAACGGACGACCTTTACTCATCAGACCAGATCAACACATTGATCACCCAAGTGGTGACTACGAAGCAGGCCTACCCCATAACGTTGGAGGGCTCGTACTATCACACATCGCAGACAGCAGCATACCTAGCTCTTATCCAGGAGAAAGACCAGACGCCCCTTGGAACCTCCCTGTCCAGGATCCCGTACCCCAACCGATTCTTGCACCAATCATATCCGATTACATACCACCGATGGCTACAGTTACCATGGATGAAGGACATCACCATGTCAGCCAGAAGGAACTTGGTTTTAGAAAACCCGAGATCTTCAACGGTTCAGACCGTTCGAAGCTTAGGGAATTTATAAACCAATGCAAGAACTACATGGCCGGAAATAGCCATGTCTACCAGGAGGACAATCAGAAGATCGCATTCGTGCTATCGCACATGCAAGGAGGAACAGCAGGATCATGGGCACAGAGCTTCATAGAAACGGAACTCACCAATGACGACTTCCTTTCTTATGGGAGTTGGAGAGACTTCATTGCGAGTGTGAACAAAGCATTTGGCGATGAAAATATTGAAGAAACCGCTCATACCTTGCTGCGTAACATCAAGCAAGGAACTCGTACTGCGGACGACTACATTGCCGAATTCCGATCGATTGAATCCAAGGCGAAATTAGAAGATGCCGGAAATATCGAGTATTTCAAGTGGGGACTTAACGACCCACTCCGACAAAGGATATATGGGATGGAAAGCATGCCCAAGACACTTGACAAGTGGTATGAATACGCCTCGCGGTTTGATAACCAATGGAGATCTGCTCAGATCTTCAAGCGAGGAGCCACTACGACGACGCGAGGAAAGGGCCGATCTGTCCATCGTCCCTACTACTTGGCTTCTGCAAAGGATCCAAACGCGATGGATATTGATCATGTCAATATTTCGCGCTTATCCCCGGACGAGCGACAGAAGAGAATGAAAGAAGGATTATGTTTCCTATGCGGAAAGAAGGGCCATATAGCCAACGACAGACAATTCCACCCCCAGTCTGGAAGTTTCACCCGTGCTAGAACGATACAGCCCGGGTTAGACACAGACACGATCACATGGATCAAGAAGATGCGAGAAGACCTCGCACAGAAGAAGGAGACGTCGAAGGAAGAAACCAGAGAGGAACAGATCGCCTATGTGCGAAATGTCTTCAACGACATGACTGATGAAGAACGAACCCAATTGGGTTTTTGAGACGACGGCCACTAGTAATGCATGGACCGTCGCATCTTACCGTATCTCCCCTCGTTATTTGTAACACTAGCGGAAATTCAATCACTGTGAATATTTCGTTGGGAGAGAAGGAAGACGTTACAACAGAAGCCTTGATCGATTCCGGTGCAGCCGAAACGTTTATGAACATTCGTTTTGCGGAAGAAAACAATTTCATCAGATGGGAATTACCGAAACCGATTACAGTCATGAATGCAGATGGCACACCAAATCAAATGGGTACCATTACTCATTGTACCTGGAAGATGATGAAAATCGGAGGAAGGAAGACGCTTACTCGCTTCCTCTTGACCGGCATTGGCAAAGAAAACATACTTCTCGGCATGCCGTGGCTTAAACGCCTCAATCCGATGATCAACTGGGAAACCGGTGACTTTTGGTTTGGTAAAGACGCCAAATGGCCACCGAAACCCACCGTCAAAGATGCACCAGATGAAGAAGTTTCGATTTTCAAGGAAGATGGACTCCCAGAGTTAATCACCACCGAAACTTCCCCTACCTCGTTTGGGCATTCGGAATCTATCAGAGAAATCATGGCCGATAACACTGAGCGTGGCGAGTTACCCGCAGTACGGAATGATACCGAACCAGATGACCCACCATCAGAACCCCCTATGGATCAGCTCGATGACGACGATCTAGTTATATCCTATATCGCAGGAGAGCCAGTTATTGGGATATTTGAACCCATCAGGAAGGAGTCACCTTTGACGAATGAAGAGACTGAAACTGCAGTCTTCACCATACGAAGAGGCCCCGCCATTGGAAGAATGACACACAGTACCCGATCCCCATTATTCTGTAACGCACAGAATACGGTCTTTTACAAACCATCTGGTAAATCACAAGAATTGGCACAACAGGCACACAAGGAAGCATCAGCTGTAGACAAACCCAAAACTGTCGAGGAGTTGGTCCCCAACTACCTCCACGATTTGAAGTCCATCTTTGAAAAGAAAGCAGCTGAACGCTTTCCAGAAACCAGGCCTTGGGACCACGCCATTGACTTGAAACCCGATTTTATTCCACGCGACTGTAAAGTCTATCCGTTATCGCTCAAAGAACAAGGAGCGATGGATGACTTCCTGGAAGAAAATCTGCGAAAAGGATACATCCGACCGTCGAAATCTCCCATGGCTTCACCATTTTTCTTCGTAGGAAAGAAAGACGGAGCACTACGTCCCTGCCAGGATTACCGATACCTGAATGAAGGGACGGTGAAGAACACCTATCCTCTCCCGCTCATTTCTGACCTTATGGATCAATTCAAAGGCGCATCAATCTTTACGAAAATGGATTTACGCTCCGGATATAACAATGTCAGAATCAAAGATGGTGACCAATGGAAGGGCGCATTTAAGACAAATCACGGACTTTTCGAACCTATGGTCATGTTCTTTGGACTCTGCAACTCCCCGGCGACTTTCCAAATGATGATGAATGCACTCTTCAAGGACATGATCGATGAGGGATGGATAGTCATTTACATGGATGATATCCTCATCTTCTCAAACGATTTGGAAGAACATCATGTTCAAACCCGATGCGTACTCCAACGACTCAAAGACAACGACTTATTCCTTAAACCGGAAAAGTGTTTCTTTGATATTAAAGAAGTCGAATTCCTAGGCATGATCATTCGAGAAAACTACATTGGCATGGACCCTATCAAACTTAAAGGAATTGCAGAATGGCCTGAACCAAGCACGGTAAAAGGTGTTCGCTCTTTCCTAGGGTTTGGAAACTTCTATCGGAAGTTTATTGCCAACTTCTCGGATATTGCCAAACCATTGACGAATCTTACGCGCACTGCCGCTGGATCTCCACCTTTTGAATGGACAACAGAATGTCAGACAGCTTTCGACACATTGAAGCAACGATTCAGTACCGCCCCAGTACTGTTACTGCCTGACAAGGCAAAACCCTTTATTGTTGAATCCGACGCTTCCAAGTTTGCTACAGGTGCAGTTTTACGTCAAGCCGATATCAATGGAGACCTCCATCCTTGTGCCTACATTTCACAGACGCTCAATCCAGCTGAACGGAACTACGAAATCTATGACCGCGAACTCCTCGGAATCATTCGAGCCCTCACTGAATGGCGCCATTATCTTGAAGGCTCTCCCCATCCCGTCGAAGTTCGCAGTGATCACAAGAACCTCACGTACTTCCGTACAGCTCAGAAGTTAAACCGCCGACAAGCACGATGGAGTCTCAAATTATCACAATTTGATCTTCACCTCATCCATGTCCCTGGCACTCAGATGATTCAATCTGATGCGCTCTCTCGTCGTAATGGACTCGATGACAGTGAAAGTGACAATGAAGATCGCATTCTTTTACCCAATGCACTATTCGTGCGATCCATTTCCCCGACACTATTCGACGAAATCAGGAATCACGCAGCAAAAGACCTCATTATTCACGAAGCCCTCGAAGCGATTGCGCACAAAGGGCCATTCCCCATGAAATCATCGCTTTCCGACTGGGAAGTTCGCGATGGTGTCATCCTCTACAAGGGAAAGATTTACGTTCCACCATCCGAAACTCTTCATCGTGACCTTGTTCGACTACATCACGACTCCCCTGCCATGGGTCACCCTGGAAAGTTCAATACTCTTGAACTGTTACGTCGTGAATTCTGGTGGCCCGGCATGTATACATTTGTCTACAATTATGTTAAAGGCTGTGCCGCCTGTCAACAAATGAAACCGAATACTCATCCAACTCATATTCCTTTGGAACCAATTCTTGCCGACCCACACGCATTACCATTTTCCTGTTGCACCACCGATTTTATTACCGACCTCCCCGTTTCCAACGGTTTTGATTCAATTATGGTCGTAGTAGACCATGACCTTACGAAGGGGGTGATTCTTATGCCCTGCCTCAAAATGATCACAGCCGAAGGAACGGCCAAGATTTTTCATGACAAAGTATACTCGCGATTTGGATTATCCGACCGAATCATCTTGGATAGAGGACCTCAATACGCATCCAAGGTCTTCCAAGAGTTAAATCGACTACTCCAGATCAGATCATCAATGAGCACAGCTTATCACCCTCAGACGGATGGAGAAACAGAGCGAGTCAACCAGGAGCTGGAAATCTATCTTTGACTCTATTGCGGAAACAACCCTGAAACATGGGCCGACCGCCTGCCAGACCTCGAGTTTTGTCATAACACAAGGGAACACTCGGCACGGAAAATGAGCCCATTCTGCATCATGATGGGATACGAACCACGTGGACTCCCTTCCGTATTTCCGACCATGAACATTCCATCGGTTGAATCCAGGCTTGACATGTTGCAGAAGATAAGATTAGAAGCACTAGCCATGCACGAGTTAGCCCGACAACAGATGGCGGACCGAGTCAGACAAGGATCGCCGAAGTTTACACTAGGACAGAAGGTCTGGCTAGACTCGAGGAACCTGAAGGTCAATTACGCCTCGCGCAAGATAGCACCAAAGCGTGAGGGGCCATTCGAAATTGTCGAAGTCATCGGACCAGCCAACTATCGTCTCAAACTCCCGAAGACCTGGCGAGTTCATTCCATATTCCACGCCGCCCTTCTATCTCCTTATCGCGAAAATGACATACATGGTCCGAATTACGTGAACCCACCACCTGATGTCGTTGATAATGAAGAAGAGTACGAAGTCGAAGCCATCCTGAATCACAAGATGTACCGAGGTCATCTGAGGTACTTAGTCAAGTGGAAAGGATATTCTTCAGCAGAAAACTCGTGGGAACCTACCCACAATTTACAGAATGCCAAGCGAATCCTCGATGCATATAAAAGGACCAGGAGAATCCAGTAGAGAAGAAGAAACCCGGAATGACTACCACGACAGTTTTCCTCATCATCTTCCTAATCGTCCTCCACTGCACAACCCTCACTTTTCTTTGGATCATCCACCGAATCCTTATCAGACGACTTGTCGAACACACACTCTTCACGCGAGACAGCCCACACGCTAACGGCTGGGGTGATCAGAACGATGCCTGGAACTGATCAGGCAGCTCTTATCTCTGTGGGAATACTCTTTATCATCCAATGGATTTTCATCTATTTGATTATTACCCAGATCCACGACATTCTATTTCACATCACAGATAACCGCGATCCCCTTAACGACCGAAAGGTATAAAAGGAGGAGAAGACGATATATCATCAATGCCCACTTCCGCTATAGACGACCTTGTTCACAATATACTCGCTGAAGTCGCCTCCACAATTATGAGCATACCCGCATCGCCTACGCTTGTCAATGGAGTACCCTCTCGAGCACAGACACCCTTTATCCGCGCCTCATCGCCCTCACCTTCTATCGAACTCAGTCACGCATAGGACGAACAAGAATTTGCCACACGTCTGGTCTCGGCTATCCGTGTTCCTGTCGACTTCACAGATATCCTCGTCGCCTTACGAAATCACCCGCAAGATCGACAAGCAGTGGTTTCCATGCAACGAGCATTAGATATGGTCGAGTGGATGCAGATGGCCAGACAAGAGCTCATCGCAGCAGAGGAAAGGACGAGTAGAGCCCGAACCAGAGTCGACCAAGTCTGGTCACTAATGCGCAGTACGGTCACTCGTACAGCACAGGAGATTTGGAGGGAGCATGGTGACGAAGACATCGGACACATCCTCGGATACACCACTAATGGAATACCCGCATCCACTCCTCGCTCGTCGCCAGAACCAATTCCCATTCGACCTCGCCCTCCTCGTTCGCACATACCCAGTGGGCGATCTCCGTTATCCCAACCATCTTTCTCGACCGCATCCACTTCTTCGCGTCACAGTCATCCCTACAGGGATGGACGTATCCCCGAACAAGGATCACGAACCAGCCGGCGGACATGCTACAGATGTGGAGGAGATCATTATGTCCGCGACTGCCCCCGACGACGATGAAGATCACAATATTTCTTGTGGGACAAGAAACGTTAGACGGGAGCTGATGTTACAACGCTCCTCACTTGTGGCGCATCTTTTCTTTTTCTTCTTCTTGTTCCCTTTACGTTACCAGACCACGTGATCCAACACGCGACTCATCGGAGCGCAACCTCCGATTCTTTACCCAGATGACTAGAACCCCTAGTCTGGGGTTACACCGGATCCAACTCCGGACCTTCTTCTTATCACACATGCAAGACGTGCATGTATGCCTCGTCTTTACCTCGTTCTGATACACGACTCGTTATCCCCATTAGTGCTGATTATCTCTCACGACCTTACTCAGCTTTCTCACACATATTATTTCCTCGCTGTTACCTTGCCCAGATATCGTTTCACCTTATCTAGCCAATGAACGATCTTGCATTACTGCGTAGTACTGCGGATACCTTTTGTATAAGTAGACGACCTTGTCGAGCTGGATCCCCATCTCGACCTGGTTACCATTAAACCAGCTTTTCACTTGCCCTTGACTGAGATCGACCGTCAGTAGCAGACAGCTACTACGAGTCATAAGAACAAACTCTGATCGACCTTCAGTGCGAGGACATCGCCAGAAGTGTCACTTGAACGGACTTGTGTCTTAGACTAAGACCTTGTCTCGTGACGACTCGACTAGACGCTCGTGTTTCGCTGCCGCGTAACAATCGGATACATAAGCTATCACAGCGCGAACCTGAGTACCCGAAAGTAAACAAGTGACATCTGTGTTACATCTAAGAACATAAGACAATACTACACTATATGTATTGATCCACAGCTTGGTCTTCTTGAAATGTATAGCACCTGTATCGGGATCTACAACTGTTTGATCAAAAGTCTCTCGAGGAAACCTGGCTCGACAATAACGGTCACGACCGCATAAACATCCCCTGTTGTGGTTCGGATCATGCCGATTCGACATGTACACTATGTCGTCTACAGTTTGATGAACATATGCATACCAATCATTCTCCCTTTGTATCGTCAGCAATGGTGGAGGAGGAGACGGAACACACATCGTAGGATCACGAAAACTGAAGGAAGCCCCCCCACTAGAATCCATAGATGAAGATCGTCTATTAGCCTCCAACTTACATTGAATGTCCTCGGACGTACCCATAGAATGATCACCTGTATGGCAACTCTCCAGCCATCCAAGCAATTGTTGCCGAAATTCGCTGTCGCAAAGGACCTTATCACGAATTTCCTGTGGACTAAGACAACTGACAATCCAGAGAACCATATGCAGGTGTAGGGTGAGTCGTCCTTGCGATTCGACAGGAGCATAATATGCTTCCGTGGGACCAAACAAACCATCCTCCCCCGAATCAGCATGCAAAATATTTACAACAAACGACTTAACCATCAAATGAAAAAAACGAGCGCACGCAACCGGGCTACAAGCTATTAACCGAAGTCGATGTTCAGCATCTCCCAACGAAGGATGAGAAGTAAGCAAATCAATTTTCTCACCACAGTAATAAAGACATATGGGATGCGTGAAATCAACAGGGGCAAACGTGATGAAGAACACAGGTACACCTTTCACAATGATAAGTGACTTAATCTCATTGCGCTGATATTTCCTACAAGTAGCAGATCTCTGCACACGGCCAGCAACGTGGTCAATAATCGACAACAACTCGAAACATTGTTTCTCCGCATCATCCTGCGGTTGGACGTACTCACCATTCTTACCACGATCAATCAACCGCTGCAATGCGGATGCATCGACCGTTATGATTTTCTCCCGCACAGCTTCAAAATTTCGTTTCTCAGTCAATAAATAACCGCCACTGCTACAATCCCGAATTTGATTTTGATTGAATACTATAAAGGGGAAAAACTCGTCCACCTGAAACCGACGATCAGCATACAACAACAGATGATGCAAATGCGGCTGCCGTTTCAATCCGACCACGATATTTGAATTCTCCAAACCGCCCAAACCATATGGAAAAAGCCAAGGGAACATACCAGGATAAAGTTGAGGGTTATGATACATAGTAGCAGGCACGGCATCGTGACCGTACGCCAATACCTTTCCCCCTGATTACCGCAGTTGCAATCTTCTCCTTGTAAGACATATTTATCAGCTCGGCACCGGACAATCCATGAACAATGAAAGGACATACTCCATTCTCCGTTCTGCGTTCCTCGTCCATCTCGTACGAAGACATTGCTTCACCAGGTACTCCGCCATCAATACTACGATGAAGCACACACACGGGAGGACCATCCTCAGAATATGACATCAAATTACTGCATGAAATTTGTACATCAGTATAGTCCGAATGATTGAGACATAGCCAATGCAATGCATCCAGCACAACTCCGTGTCTAACCAATAAAGGTGTACGCTTCACATCATCAATGGTAGGAACGGACAGCCCGACGAACAACACGGCCAAACACTCCTCGAACTCTTCACGTAAAGGAGGCAGCACATTATGCATTCTTGCAACCGGCTGCGGGAAAGCGACAGCATTCGCACATAATTTACGCTGACCTTTATCGACTTGAACAACAAAAAAATTATGCCAATAACACGCAATCAGCAATTTCTCGACAAACTGAAGACGCTGCAGAACCACCGGCACGTCTCCGAGCCACAATCTATTGGCCAACGAATGCGATGGCATACGATGCTTCAGAAGATGATGAAGACAACAGTCACATACCTGCAAGACCTGAGTATCACGATATTCCAAATATAAAACAGGATCATCCGACTCCAGGCCAACGGAAGACACATTGACGCGCTCCTGACAAGCGACCCTGCAACCTGTCCGTACCAACGGTGACAAATCAATATCTTTCTGATCGATGGACGTCAGCATACTATGAACTACCAGCTCTCCACACACTGCACACGCCCCCTCGCTTATAGCAGCAAATGAAGTGTACTCACACCAATCCGATACAAATCGTGCGAAATCTGCAACACGCGGCGGTTCGGGCAGAAAACGGGCTCGACCTCAAACAGTCTCGGACAGATCAATTTTTTGAGAACAAACACCGCTCGACGGACGCGACTGGGCCTGAGGTGAAGGAGAAATACTTTGCTCACCACATTCACACACTATAACACAATACAATGCCCCGCAAAATGGATTGCAACAGTGTGTCCGTAAATAAGACACCACGTCTTCCAACCTACAAGTATGATCGAGACGAACATGATGCAACTTCGCCAGCTCAAGCAGAGAATGATAAGGCAAAATTGCGGTAAGCACTGTAATGGGAATATCAATTAGAATGGAGGACGTACTCCATTCAAACATAGCACGGAAGCCACCCACAGTACTCAACCCGCGATACTCAACCAAATGGGCCATAGAAAGACATTCTGCATTACCACAAACCACCCGAAAGGATACCACAAAGGCAACCGACAGATGACAAGATCGCCGGGCACCACCACGCTGAGGACGATAGATATCCCCCGCACTACTCTGACGCGACCAGCGCGCGTCAACGAAAAGCGGTGAAACAACCGCACAAAATACCAGAATCGCGAAGAGAACAAAACAAAACATAGGCAAAAGATATGTCAAGTTCATCATGAAGAAGATCGAACGAAGAAAAGAACGTTACCACACCACGATAAAAAAAAAACCATCGGCAATAGCCGAGTAAGGATAGGAGGCAGACCTCCTATTCTTATGTAAGCGAACACCCCACCACGACGAGAATCAAACCAGATTTAGTGACAGCTAAATTCAAAACGTTAGACGTTTCTCGACGAAACTCACCTCCCGATATTTGTTCGCGGAGCAGCAGTTTAGTGTGGGACAAACGACCTAAACCAAATGCGGAAGCTCAAGCGCTCGCCGGAGAGCCTGTGTGCGAGAGTTCTCGCACTGGCATGCCCTGGAGAGAGCTGAGAAGATCCTTATGAGCTCTTTCATGGCTTGGGGAACATGTTTATGGTTCTCAAGGGGTGACATGGTTGCCAGCATCTGATGATGGAGGGTTGACCGCATATTGACTGGTTGCCCAATTCGGCCTAAGTCTGTTTGTTCCGCACTAAAGCACTGCGCCACAAACAAAAATCGGGAGGTGAGTTTCGTCGCAAAACGTCTAACGTTTTGAATTTAGCTGGAAATCGGAACTGGGAGATACGTATCTGATACGCGTATCAGATAGAGTTTGGACAGAGTTATACCACGTGCGCAGGCGTTAAAGTGACCCCGTCGCGTGAGGACCCCTGACAATTGAGGGGGATTCTGAACCGATTTCGGACAAAATTTGGACTATTGAGAGCCCCATGCCCGGTTTTTCACGGACAAATCAAGGGGTTGACCACCACATGGCCTCAGTCATTTCGCGGACATCGGAAGGCTGAACCTGGGAGGCCTGATCCGGGACCGGACAGACGCTCGTGAAATCCTGGCGAGGCAGGCGGAGAGTCTCTCGCGTGACGACATTCGTGTACCTGATACGCGTATCAGATACGCATTATTTCGAACCAATGAATGAGACGTTCTCGACGTGACCGCGACCCCGGCGCTAGTATCATGTATAACTAAGTTTACCCGGCCGTTCTCCCTTGCCCGTCACGTAGATCTGTCCCTATGGCTCTCAAGGTCGACAATATTCCCCGCCTCAGTGGAACAGACCTTGTTCATGCTGATGATCAGTTGCACGGTCCTGAAGTCGCTCCTTCCATCTCAGTAACTTCCAGTAAGCCATAGCGCAATTCACACGTGCTTGATACTCACCCATCCAAACAGCATTCCGTGCTGAGCAGCCGCTCACCAGCACAACGGTGGGAAGTGATGACCACGATTTCGACCCCCTCAACCCGATCAACCACGTGTACTCTCGCTACACCCAAAACGTCAGCAGCAGGGCCGAGAAAGTCCTCAGCAAAATCAACGTGAGTCCTATTGCCTTGCGAGCTCCTGCTTCTAATAACTTACTGTCAGGGAGGTTATGCTATTACCTTTGCTTCGGGACTGGCTGCGTCATATGCTGTGAGTATCTATCATTGTCAGGCCGATTCACCGATGAACGTTCAATCGCATGAAGGCCTTAGTACACCTGAAGCCCAAGCGTGTCGCCATCACAGGTGGTTATCACGGATGCCATCTCACCATACAAGTGTACAAGCAGAGCCGAGGCGAGGGATTGCCCATTATCGGCATAGACGACAGTTTCCAGCCTGGTGATCTATGCTGGCTGGAGACGCCTCTGAACCCGACAGGTGAAGCCAGGTAAGCATATTTTTTCGTGTAGGCGTAAGATGGTTTTTGACTGCTGGTTTGATAGAGATATTCAGTATTATGCTGACAAGGCATGATGAACTCTCGCTAGAATAACTTCTATTCGACTCATATCGACATGCAGGTGCACGCCGCAGGCGGGCGTCTGATTGTTGATTCCACGTTTGCTCCTCCTCCTCTGCAATATCCGTTCAATTGGGGCGCAGATGTTGTTCTCCACAGCGGTATGAACGATTTGAGCGTCTCACTTGAATGTCTTGTGTATTGAACAGCTCCTAGGAACGAAGTATTTCGGTGGCCATTCTGATCTTCTCTGCGGAGTTCTCATCGTTCCTACTGTGGATGAGTGGAAACAGGTATGGGAGCAGCCGTAGTTTAGTCCATACCCAGGGTACTGATATGGCCGCTGTTGCTTTAGCTCTGGCAATATCGTACCTTCTTGGGTTCGATGATGGGTTCCTTGGAGTCGTGGCTGCTCCTCCGCTCCCTTCGCACTCTGCACCTGCGTGTACCTCGTCAGTCGCAGACTGCTACTGGCCTCGCCAAGTGGCTGAATCAAGCTGCTGGCGTATGTTATTTCATGATAATCGTCGGCTAGACACCGTGTATTAACAGTGCGTGCACAGGGCAAGGCGGCAGATGGCATACCGACGGGAGTAATCGATAAGGTCTGGCATTCAAGTTTGCAAGGCAAAGACGCGCGAGGTTTTGAGCCCAGCATCCAGCTGGAAGGTGGCTACAATCCGACCTTCGCCATCTTCGTGAGTGCTCTCTATGCTATTGTCGTGATCATACTGACCACTCTCCTCCGAAGATGACGAACGACGAATATGCGCGACTTCTCCCGCATAAACTCAAGTACTTCGTAGTGAGTCGCGGCATATGCAACGATCTTCTCCGGTACTGAGATTTTCTGTAGCCTGCAACTAGTCTCGGCGGTGTGGAATCACTCATTGAGCAGCGAATCCAGTCTGATCCGGGAGCGGACCCACGCCTTATCAGGATAAGCGTTGGCGTAGAGGATTTAGAAGTATGTGATATCTTGGCACCGCAGCTATGTACTCCAATCCCTGACGATAATGCGTCTCGTAGGATTTGAAGAACGACTTGCGACGAGCGTTCCAGGAAATCGTAACACTGAGGGCCAAGTTGTAGACCAAGATATATCCGCACAATCTAGCAGAGGGAATTTAGAATGTCAGTCAACACGTATTCTTCACGCTTGCGATCCACTCATTATTGGGCTTCCTTGCAGGCTTGTAAATAGAAGGATATAGTGTTCAATGCCTCTGTACACAATAGATGAACCCGAATGCTGTATCTAGGAAATTGATGTGACAGATTACCTGTGCGCGCGCTATGTGTATGGTGAGCTGAATCGAATATGCGGGCTGATGGCGGAGGGATCTGCAGCACCTGCCTTACGCGGACTACGAATGTTGACAGGTTCACCACTTCCGTCTGTGTATGTCAGAGTTGTTGCACCTGCGTTTTCGTTCATTTATTAGTTCCCTTTCCTCCCGCCGCACTCTCCTTTGCACTCTCCTGAAGTCATCCCCTCACTTAACCCATCCTCCCTTCCTTTATACGATGTCTGGAAACTTGTTATTTCTCGGAGGTAAGGCCCATAGACGCGTTGGACGCGACATTTGCATTGACGCGTACTCCGAACAGGCCTTCCAAATGATATCAGAGAGGACGAAGTCCATAGGGTCAGTCCACGCATTAATCAATTTGGCACTCATCTACATCGTTATCGTGAAGCATCTCTCGATCTATGGCAAAATCACAGAGATCAAAATCCGGCCTGGTAGGTATATGGCTAATCAGTAATGGCGTACGGGTTGATTTCGTCGAGCCACAGGTTTTGGTTTTGTCAGATTCGCGTCGGAGAAGGTGACTTTTCACTCTTCTCCTTCACAGGCAATGCTGATGCACTTTTCACGTGTAGGATGCTAAGGTGCGTTGTCCTCTATCCTTTTAGCACTAAGGCCGTCAGTGACCCTGCGTGCAGGATGTGGTCACGATGTTCTCCCACCGACAATTCTTGGGCGCCGGTGAGTGCGGCTCCTTCCAAGCACCGTACTTCTCTTACCCGTGAGGCGTCTGATTGCACTTGTCAGATGTCTCGATCTCGATAGCTCGGCCTTACCGCAAAGAGAGCGGCGGCGATACCAAGGCCAACTCAAGTCCTGCCATAAGGACCAAGTGCGCTTCCCATCTGTTTCAATGCCTTGTTCTCATGGGCTAGATCATGATGCAGGTCGCCTTCTCGGCACGACGGTGTTGATCGATATCCCGTGGTGATCGAGAAGATGAACCCGAACACCACCTGGAAGGTGCATCCCGTCATTCGTGCCATGCTTTCCAGACTAACATCTACCGATGCCAGGACCTTATGCACTTTGGTCGCCTTGCGGGTGAAGTGCTCTTTGTCGCGCTTGATCGACATCGCCCGGGCAGGGGGTATGGGCTTTGTGTTTTACCTCATGGAGACTCTCATCTCATCCCGCTTGTCGCAGCTATATTAATTATACGACACCGAAAGATGCCGAATGTGCGGTCAAGAAGCTCAGTGGACGTATCTTTCTGGGCAATGCTGTCACCGTAGCCCTCCATGTATGTCAATCTCGATCACATCGGTTTACTGAACTCTTTACCTGTGGTTATGTAGCAGGATAGGTACGCAGTTGAACGACCTAAGTCGGTGTCTGACCGGTCTTGCCGCGGTCGTTCTCGCTCCCGCTCTCCCGTCCGCTGGACCAAGAACCGCGAGAATCCAAAGTATCGTAATCACCCAATCCTTTCGGATGCTCGCGATGAAAACAGGGCCATCCCAGCCGGGCCTGGTGTACAGCACAATATGCGCACCCCCGTCAAGTCCGACTTTTCAGCTGACAAGCATGACGTGCGCGATCCGCGTGAATGCCTAGTGTCGCTGGAGCCCTTCCAAAAGTCCGAGCTGCATGGAAACACGAATTCTGAAAGGGCCGAATTTGACACGGACGTGGATCGGATGGCCGCGGAGTGGCTGAACAAACATTTTGATACGGAAGCCTGGCGTAACGTCCTGACGGAAAGCTCTGTAGAAGGGTCCTCGGAAGCGTAAAGCGTAAAGCATCAATTGTTTCTGGTTCGCAGACAATTCCACTGATGCGACGTCGTTATACTAATTCGGTGCTGAACCGTTACAGTATCCATGAAGAGTTAGAAACTGTACCGACCAGCAATAATCGACCCCATTATTTCGCTCCCTCCGAGGATTATTTTCACCGACAGACATTCAAAGCGCACTGTATACCTCTTGTTGTATTTTTTCTTTGCCAAGCAGAGCCACTTTTATGTGGAATTATCGTCAATATCTCCGCGGTCCGCTTGCGCTCAGCAGTGGGATCAATGGGCTACATGTACAAGACATCAGACCAAGCGACTCTATTTTTTCTTCCCGTTGTAAAAGTCAAGAAATGCGACCTTGTCCTCCCATCCCATCCCCAGTCTCTTCATTTTCCCAGTATGCGCTATTAAGGACGTACAGGCTTCTGACAAAAGATCAACGGGTTGTTCTCCGGTGACATACTCGCTGGCGAGGAATGCTCTTGAGCTGGGCGATTCGGAAGGTGCGAGGAGTCGGATAGAGACGGTGAGAGGAGCAAGGGACATTGCAAGAGTAAGGAGGTGCGGGAGCGGATTGATGACAGTGGAGGGTATGGAGTGTGTCAAAGTAGGCTGCAGGGCAGTTGGCGGATCATACCTATGGACCGCAGGATACATTTCCGATTAATAAAAAGGAGACAGTAACATGTATGCAAGTGAAACTTACCGTACACACATCACGAATACGTTAAACTTGGTCACGGGAACCTTCACCTCTCGGAATATCTCCGCAAATCTGAGAAGGCCTCTGCCGTTGCTGGTAGTGCACTCGGGGAAAACTACAACCGGCCTATCCGCCTTGTTCCTGATTTCTTCCATGCTCAGCAATTTCTCCAGCTCTGCTGTGCCAGGCTGAGCAGAAATGGGGACATGGCCTGTCGCACGTAGCATGGAGAGTAGTGAAGCTCTTCGGAAGCCACGGATTGGGACACGTGGCGAAGGTGCGCGGGCTGAGGGCAAGGAAAGTGCCGCTGAGCCAGTACCGGTGCGTCGGCCAGGGGTACGAACAGGTGACGCAAGGGACTCAGAGGCTGGAGAGGTCGTGTCCGCAGATGAGCGAATCGGGAGCACAAATACGGGGTTGAATCTGATAGATCATCAATGGAAGAATGTATGGTGTCTAGGAGATTCAGACCGTACCGGAAGGCTAACCATAGAATCTCTACGAACGAAACCCAGTTCGAGACAATGATATCTCCTGCTTGCGGATTCCAATCTTCGGATAATTTTTGACTCCTCCTGCGTAGAAAGATTAGACAGCTGTTTATTGACTATAGCTGGAAGGTCAGACTGACCCGCGTTTTCGTGCTACCACGTCTACCGGTATCCACCAAAGACCTATCAGAAGCAACACAAGCCGGCATATCAACGCAGTCAAAAATTGAGTAACCAATCTGTATAACGGTGGCACTACGATCTGTTACGGTGAGACAACCCCTACGACAGGGCTTGACGAGACGCACTCACGAGCACTGGACAGAAACCTCTGACAACTAGGGCATATAAGAGACCAAGAACTACAATCAGTGAAAGCCTGATTGCTCCTACAACATAACCAAATGGAAGAGCAAGATATGCGAGTGTTTCTGAACCTAACGGAGGAACAGGTTTCAGGAAAGGCTGTTCAAGTTAGACTACATCAGCTATAACCAGCTAATGCTTCGCAGACCAAACCTGAATGCCTGTTCCTGGATCCTACATCGTCCTGAGTCGAGAATCTACGTAGTGCAGAGAAAGTCGACTTACCCGGAAAGCTGAGAACTTTTCCATGGAGAGCCCAGCGGCCGTTAAGCGCTGGAGTTGAAACTGAGGCTTTATCTAATCTTATCTCATTCTGGGATGACCGTGACCGTGCCCTCCTCGACCCCCTGAACACTAGCAGTTCGTACGTACCATGACCTCGACAGAGCGTTTCAGTGTCGCATGGCCTACCTTCAGATATTATGTTGGCACGGCATACCGCCGCTATAACAAGCTGCATATCTACGGGAAGGCGCGTCTCCAAATTCCTGTCACCTCTTCGACGATTAACACCATGAATTCATTTGTGCATAGACAGCTTTTCATATGGGGCACCATATGCGTTTGGGTCTCTTTGGCCACTATATTTGTCGTCATTGGACCTGACCGTATAGGCCAAGCTTTCTACGACCTGGCACATAAGATCAATCAACTGCCATTTGGCTGGTTGATCATTGCGGGTTTATTGGGTGAGCCAGACCCATCTGAAGAACCACACCGTGTCCGCGATTTATTAGTGGCACTCAGTTATTGAATCATTTCCACCTGTCATGGGGCATACGACCACCGTCACACTATGTGGTTACGCTTACGGGATGAAGGGCTTCTATATTGCCGCTGGAGGTTCTCTAGCGGGTGCCTGCTTCGCATTCGCAGTCTTGCGGCTGCTATTCCGTGAAAGACTGCGGAGATGGTCAGCATCCAACCAGAAGTGGATTGCGCTCGAAACCGTCGTTGTACGTCGTCTGTCCTGTGCACCGTGTTCATCGGTATTACGACCCACATCCGCGTCTGTGTAGGGTGCAAAGGGTCTTCCCCTGATCACTCTTGTCCGTGCGTCCCCCTTTCCGCCATGGGGTTGGGCACACGCGATGTTCGCTGTAAGTCTTCTACGAGTGCATAGCATTACTCTGAATTGACCAATCTCGCCAGTCAGTAGACACAGTTGCGCTATGGCAGTTCTTTCTGGCATCCTTCGTACTATTCCCGAAGTTTGCACTATTTGTCTTGATCGGTTCACGGTTGGCAGCTCTATCTGATGGAGACCAACGAAGCCATATGGACACTTGTACGTGAACTAAAGGCTAAACTCTGCAGGCACAGTCCGCTGACGATGGTATTTATAGCCACCAAGATCCTGAATGTGGCTATCTCAGTTGGAGGGATTCTTCTCTCGACAACTGCTGGCTGGTACGTACAAGTGGTAGGAATTATGACATGCATCTGAAAACCACGGCAGGATCATATACCGTGCTATGCAAGCAGAAGTCCGTCGTCTCCAAGAAATGACGCCGGAGGTTGACGAGCTGTCCACCGAAGGCACTGACGATGCTGCAGAAGAGGCCCCACTCCTGGGGGAGTACGCCCCGTCCTTGTCCTCCGAAACGTAGATCTTCTGTTTCCCTTTCATGGATACAACGCACTATATATCTACTGTAGAATTAATAAGTACGGAACATAAGCTTCAGAATTGTATATCTAATTGTGGCGACGTTGAGATCCGATGCGTTGTCCCAATAAAAATCCTCAGTAGTAGTGTAAGAACAGTAGAGACAGACTAGCTCCAATGAAGAACAGTAACACCCACTTCCTGCTATCTCTAGCACGCCGCTTTGCCTCCCTCAGCTGCACGTTACCATTCTCCACTGTGGCTGCAGTCGCTATTGCGTCCTCGTACAGCTGCTCCGTCTGTTCCGTCTGCTTCGTCAGGTGAGATACAAGTTCCATCTGAAGCGCGCTGATCTCCATCAAACGCGACTCCGCCTGCTGCACGGAGGCCAACGTGTCCTGCACCGACTGCAAGATGTTCGCATTCTCCGTTTCGAACTGCATGATCTGCGATGCAGTGAGCTCGATATCCTCTTCATCCGTCTCCTCCAGGAAGTCATCCGGTGTTGAAGGCATGGGTTTAATGGTATTTGTCGAGCTTCCGACATCGCGCGACTGTGGAGCAATGGATGCAGCGAAGCTTGAGGCGAGATTCGATGCCCCGCCGAGCCAGCTCCCGCTGCTGGACGACGATCCTGCAGGTGAGGGGAGCTCTATCGTGTCCATGTACAGCGCCTCCCGCGCCGCACCAGAACCTAGCGTCCGCGTCCGCTCCATCTGCCGTTTCACGCGCTCCTCTTGCATCTCCTTCAGCGCCTGGCTGCCCTCAGTCAGCCGCCGAGAGAGGTACCACGTAATGCTGGCATGATGAGCTGCTACGAAGTCAGACATTGCGGTGGACTCGTCTTGTCGCAGGCGTGCCGGCAGCAGTCTCGTGAGGGGATTTCTCCGACTGGCAGCGAGCTCCGCGCGTCCTAGTCAACATATCTAAAATGTTAGAAATTCTGCAGGCAAGTGAAGTACAAAGAACCCATTCTTACGCTTTTCAAGAGCCTCCATTCCCTTCACTCGGTCCGCACAGCGCGAAAGAATGACCCTGGCCTGCAGGTCGATTTGGTCCCGTTCCTCGTTTGTGATATGTCGAACACTTGACCATGATTGGTCTGCTGCTCCGAGATCTATCATTCGCGGGGACTGTAGCAGTGACGGCGTGCCACGAGAGTCCACATTCAGATAGACCTTCCGGATGGACGACAGCATCCTGCTCAGCGTCTGTATATGACGCAGCTGAAGGCAATAGATCAGCGAGCGCAATACACATCCCTGATTTCAGGTCACATACAATAACATAGGCCTCAGCCAGGTACTCCTGGCTTAGAAAGTCCTGACCTTCGGCGACCTTGCGACGCTTCGGCTCCGGGGCTTCATTCTGCTTTTCTTTGAGGATTTCACGGAACTCGGAGGTGCGGGAGTTCGCAGGCATGGATGGGAATACCTCCAAGGCTTTAAGCTTCAAGGACGAAAGAGCGTTGTATGGTCGGCGAGCGACGGGGCGTCTGCTCTACTTGTGCTGAACGACTAGCGCCTGTACAATAAGTGCACGTGCACACTTCGTATTTAGAAGCCGCTGTTTTCGTTTCTTCACAACCACGACGTTGTTTTCTGTTGCCACCAGCTCGCCGTACACGACGCGTTGCAGAGGCTCGTCGTCGTGGAAGATGACAGAGTGTCCTTGTTTGAGGCGGGCGGTGTTTCCTTGACACCACCGTTTGCCATAGTTAGCGACATACATGCAACTGAGAGTGAATCATAAACCTTTTCTTGTTCCACTAGTACTATTACTATCATACACAAACACTATTACATTATATCAGTACAGTCACCTAGACTCGTGACCAGTCTTGGTCTCGTACCCCGACGTGAGCGAGTAACGCACCCCACCACCGCCCTCGCTCTGACGTCTGGGGCATTTCAACCGTGACCCCCCTTGCTCTTATCAGCCCTAAGCGAGATTATCTGAGCCCGCGCCATCAATCATCCTGCCTAAATCGGCAATTCCTCTACGCTTCCTCTGACTTTCGAGCCATGATATCACCGCGTGCACATACTGTTGTAGCAGTCATTCTCTGTAATTATCATAGAAATACTATCTTGACAACGTACATGTAGTTTAATGAATTATATGAGGGATTGCGGCCGCAGAAAACATGAACTAACTGCAGACTCTACTTACTTTCCTTGGTTTCTCACAGAGGTGTCTCAATCCTACTTATTCCTCTTGCGAGGAAGCTCATATTGCATCACTTTTATATTTCTGCATGATTACATGGCCTCCTCGCTGGCAATGCCTCCAAAAGTTGAGTATGAATCTCGACATCGAGTCTCTGTGCCTTCCCGAAAAGGCAGGATGATTGATGGCGCGGGCTCAGATAATCTCGCTTAGGGCTGATAAGAGCAAGGGGGGGTGTCACGGTTGAAATGCCCCAGACGTCAGAGCGAGGGCGGTGGTGGGGTGCGTTACTCGCTCACGTCGGGGTACGAGACCAACCAGTCTCTATAATGCACCAATGCGATGCTATGTACGATGGGGCGGGGGAGGGAGGAGCGGAAGAGAGGCGGCGGGATTGGTGCTATAGAGGGGGAGTCGACCAGGACCCCCGCGAATCCACTGAGAGCTCCGATGCACCCATCCCCGAAAAATGGGCCGCCGGAGGCAAAATGTTCGATCTTCGACCCCCGAAAATGGCCAAAAAGTCGTCGAAAGTTAGGTGCGAAACACCCCCGAAATGTAACCCTCCAACCTGAGGTTAGGTCCAGAACCCCTGGAAACTGAGGTTGGCTGGCGGATCTCTCAGGTTGCGGAGGATCGGCCTCGAATTTAGACATACAGTATGTGGTGGTTTAGGAGGAAAATTTTAGTAATTTGGTTGACAAAAGCTTGGGTTTCGCGCAGGAAGCGAAAAATTGGTTCCGCCGGCCGTCGAACGTAATTCTAGGCGGCCACATACCCCCGAAAATGGCCGACCTGCCGCCAGGTTGTGTGCAAACCCCCGAAAATGGGTAGTTGGCCACCCCCGAGAAATGTCGTCGCCGGGATCGGAGCTCTTAGTTAATTCGCGGGGGTCCTGGTCGACCCCCCCCTTCCAGATATAAGGTTTAGAAAGGTCTCACTTTGTTCACAGGCTCGTCGGAGATCAATTGGCCGACGTGCCGGAGTGATTTAGAGACGAATTTAGCTTTAGAATGTCTCTAAACGGCTACGGGAAGGCATCCACTTGTTCATATGTGCATGATACATCCAACAAAGTCAATTGGTCTCCTGTCTTTGTGTAAATGCAAATGAGCTGCATCTTCTGATGATTTTTCTATGATTTTTGCTACACCCAATGAATGTTCACTGAAAAGAAAACAAAGAACTCTTGTCAACTTCAATTACTCAGCCAAATTTGAGGCAGATTGGAAGTGAATTGCATATGAATAATGACAGGCCAACGTTGTGTATGAAGAAGCACGGAAACAAGAGCAAGAATGATTGTCTCCTGCCGTTGCAGCGGAGCCGGGTCGCTGTTCACTCATCCCAATAAGGCTATTTGGAGTTTGAAAAGTTCATGCGCTCGAGTGCTTCCAGCCGCCTTCAAGTTGTATACTATCTCCCCCACATACAAGGCGGCTGGTTTCGAGCCTAACACCATTGAATGGATGCTAGGTTGCTACACATGGATACAAATATGGATGATACAAAAAAGAAGCTGAAAGCCCTACTTAGTGTCAAGCCGATAGTGTAATAATGTCGGAAAAATCTTTCGTGCTTAATAGGGCAGTTGCAAGACCCAAATTAGGAGTTGTCAGGCGAGGTCCATTGCAAGGCACATTGTTTTTTTCCGACATCAAATGTGGCATGGGTTAGGGTTAGGACAACGGAGGAGCGAAAAAAAAAGGCCTGCTCAGCCCGAGGGCCAAAGCAGGACAGGAAAATATTGAGACGGTGCATGAGCCGAAGCCCATACAAACTGTAGATTCCCCCTGAGGACAAGGTCGCCGTGCTATGAGAGGCCCCCACGGCCCATAAACCCAGGTAGATGAAGGGGCTTGTGCCATCAAGGTAAGTATGAGTTGCTATCATCCTTGCCCACTGATTATATCGTGGGGACGAAGTGCGCACGGACCATCGTGTTCTTCACGCTCACGTGAAGCTTTTTACAACTCGGAGGAGTCCTATCTTATGCATGATGCGAATGTTTTTGTTCAAACAGTGTACATGTGTAAATCGACAATTTATATAACGAGAACGGATAGAGGAGAGCACCAGGATCGGGTCTACATTTCCGCCCTTTCCCCATTCTCATACCGCAGTTTGCCTCACAGCCAATGCACAAGAAACTTAGCATGAATTTTACAGGTCAACTGTAGTAATTTGTCGGCAGTTCATGCCTTCAACGTGTGACGAACAGTGACAGAGAGTATATATGATGGAAACCCGGAAGGTCAATTACAGCCTCTCAATTCCACCTTGGAGAGGTAATTGTCACGGTGGACAACAGAACTGGATGAGCTATCTGATCATGATTGGACAGCACGCATCAATACACCGGAAAGCAGAATACAGATACAAAGATGGACACATAACAATACTGATATTCGGGTCGCAGCACTCATCGTATTGCCTCCAAGATTTCCATCGAGGTTACGCTGTTACCGCGAATAACCTGGGATGCCACAACGATGAGGGCACAGTCAGCGATCAGAGAAAAGACGCATGCATTAACGAGGACTCACGACTGTTCCAATGGGATGTTTTTGTGCCGGATTTGTCTCCTCCAGAGCATCGTCGATCACAAGGTTCAAGAAAAGGTCGTAACCTCGCAACGTCCCGCTGACTTTGCGACCTCCCTGGAGATGGACGAACAATTTCTTGTCCATGAACTAAATTGGACACAGAAACGTTCAGTATTGTCATGCCATAACGATTGCGAGCAGTGGAAGAATAGGGTCACCTTCTTGAGTTCGGGCTGCGAGGCTTTAGACATGGTTGCAAGTGGATAGCGCGAGGCTTGGGCGCTAGAGAGCGGGTAGCGGACACGTGGTTCTCATCCGCTTGCGGCACATAATGGGCGTTCCGCATCCCTCCTCAAAGTGAACGCTTTCTTTCTCCTACATCCGCACACTCTCTATAACTAGCTTGTGCACACACTATCTGGCTTTCATACTCTTATATATCCACCCCTACATTTGTTGAACATCTCACCGCCAAAGTGGCCACTCGCTTCAAGTGGTTTCATTTAACTGGCCTTACACCGTGCGTCTGATCAATTTGCAACACCTATGCTGGACTCACGAAATGCAGAAAGACCATAAGTATTTTATTGGACCTTAACACACCGCTCAATGGCCTCCCCCGCCTCCCCTTCGGTACCGTCTACTGGCACCGGTTCTGCTCGCGCCAATTGGGGTAGACACGGCGATCCTGGGGCAGCATTTCGAGGACTCAGCAAGGGTAGAGGCAGTGGTCATGGAGGGAGAGGCCGGCGTGGTGGACGCCGCGGCGGCAATGGCGGAGGCAGAGGAGAGCCTTCCACGCTTGTCGACGAAGCCCCAAACAAACCGAGTGCCGATCAGACCAAGGAGAAGCTGCCGCCAACGGATGCGCCTAAAGCTGCCGCACCTCCAGCCCCTACGCCTAGTGCACCATCAACCAAGCCAGGTCAGTCAAAGCCACCAACAAGAAAACCGTCAGAGCATAAACCATCCAGGAAGGCTTCCATCGCTAGTGCAGATACATCCACATCCGCCCAGACTTCCGCAGCGTCGAGCAATCCTTCAATAGGCCGGCGAAAGCGGTCATATACCCGGAACAAAGGAGGACCTACTGCGGCTCCTTCAAAGCAGTCTCTATCTACCCAATCGAGCTATAGCCAGCTCTGTGCTGAGAGACCTGCACTAGTTGCCAAAGACCCCCCCCCTCACCTGATGCCTCCCCCCTCGACACCCACGTTCAACATCAAGAACGACATCGATGCTTTGGTGGAACGTGTTCGTGCAGGCGCAATGGACCGTCCTTCCACCCCAGGCAGTCACATCGACTGGGCGAGTGACGAGGATGACAGTCTTCCCGATCTTCCCGACTGGGGTCTCGCATCCAATCGATCCAATGGATCCAGGAGAGAAAGTGTCATCTCTCCAATATTGGAGGATACGCTTAAGCCCCTTCCAAGTTTGGATCTAGGGACTCCGGTTATTGTGATGTCACACGATCCGGAAGATGTTGTTGTTCTGCCCGATATGTCCGTGTCGAGAGAACATGATTTCAAGACGTCTGAAGAAACAAGGGAAGCTGTTCCCCATGTTATGACAGCTTCTTCTATCGTACAGGAGAAACAAGCGGAAGACAGTCATGTTGGAAAGGGTGGCGAGGCTACCTCCGAATCCCTGGAGGACCTTGCCTCCAAGGTGGAAGACGACGCCAAGACAGATGTATCGTCAACTGTAGCAACGACGGACTCGCCCGGTTTGTCCACGCGGCAGACGACATTGGAGAGCTTGTCCCCGCCTAAGGCGGCAGGAAAACTTCCAATACATCCCTCGCTCCCTCCCAAGCCATTTACCCATTCGGTATCCTCAAAACAACCCCCTCGAGCTGAGCCCGTGTTAAGTGTTCCGCGTCCTGAGCCAATAGTGGTGGAGCCACCGTTCGAAAGTGGACTGGCACAGTCAATACATGCGCCGGGCGCGAAGTCGGCTCCCGTGGAAGCCTCCTCTACGAAGAGCCGTTCCACGGAGCGTGGGCTTGCAGCGTCAATGCATGTGCCATTGCCATCCGCACCCAGCCAGTCTTCCAATCATCTCTCGCCTGATGCCTCCTATCACACGCACAACCGCTCGCGCACGCTAGGACGCCTCGGTCACCGCCAGCCGTATACCGCGCCTGCGTCTGGCTTTTCCGGTCATCATTCGGATCCTGACCGGGAGCGGCCGTTCTCAGCGAACATCTCGCATCATGCGCGCACGCACTCCACACCGCCGACGGGCCCGGGGACCGCCACAGCGCATGCTCGCACTGTGCACGCTGCCAGACCTGTTATCACGGTCGATGCGATCTCCAGGCTCGCCAGGACGCTGAATGCGGCCGGTATCAGACGGGAAGCACCTGCGGTGACCGTGGCGAAGGATTCAAGTTGATCTTCATCCCCGTTGCAACCGCGCCTATAAACGCCAACAATGTACTTGCTGTCTATGATGTCTGTCGCAGTCTGCTTAGTCTTCTTTGCTATCCATTGGACACCCGTCAAGTGCTTCCGCTTGTATATATTAGATACCCGCCTGACCTAGGCTCACATTTCTCATTGCTCGGGCTATATACAGTCTCCTAATATTGGGGGGTATCTGTCGAGTTACAGTGTACTATTACCAGGCTACGTTACTGGGAACATGGAGTTACAGTGTGCGCATGCAGACGATACATGGCGCGCACTTACCAGCAAAATTTCTGATCGAATGTGGACCTGTAAAAACTAACCGGAACTGAAGTACGAGAGTTCAAGTCCAATTGCCTTGATAGGTTTCGAACGGCTGGAAAGATTGGAGACTATGCCCAAGCTGACCAGAATGTTTCGCAGCCGTCCCTCCCACATCAACGACACATCCTACCCAGCAGAGTCAATGAACGCCGGAGAGGACACAAATCCATACTCACCGTTGTAGTGGAAGCGCGTGCTTTCACTACTCCCTGCACGTCACCACTGTGTTCAAACGAAGCCGGTTGTCGAGGGGCCGTAGAGTCTGCAGGGACGGCGGATGAATTTACCGGAGTAAATTTGCGACGAGTCCACCATTCTGCACCGACGGTCCACTCGCTTTCGTAGCTGTAGACATTGAAGTCGAACCGAGAGCTAACTGACAGGTCCGGCGATACACGCGCTGCGTACGCGCCAGATATATGGCCGAGCATGGGATTGAAGAGCGCGGTGATGGTGGTGGGAGGTTGTGATGGAGGACACCGCGAGGGACATGACAAGGCAGATGAAGATGAGGGAAGCTGGAATGATGGAGGAGTAGCGTCTGGGAGGGTAGTAAATCGTATACCAGTAGACACTGTAACACATGTTAGAAATCTGAGACCCATGGAAATTGCCACGACTCACCGCCAGCGCTCTTCTCCTTCGCGCTGAAGTAGAACTCAGCGCCAGCCGATATCCGACCCTTCAGGCCCCCCTCCATAGCATCTTCCTCGTCTATCCGCTTGAGCTCTGATGGCGACTTGATGCTTTCCTCTGTCGGCTCGGCAGAGCTTCCCAGCTTCCCGAAGTTATGCAAGCACCGGACACCCCACATTCCATCTTCGGCGCTCCATGTATATTCCGTGCACCACTTCCCGGTATCGTGTTGCACGCTGAACATGATGTTGCTCGCATGCACTGAGCGAGTCCGCTCTGACACCAAACTCGAGCGTGGGTCAGATATAGCGGCTACCATAGCTTGGATAGTTGGGGATAGCCTCGTTGAGTAGAGCGCATCAAGTCTGCCGGTGGGGATGTAGTAACGGCCGTAAAGCAGGTAGTCTGCAAGGAGGTTCATAGCATATTTGGGTGTGCGACATGGGAGATAGCACGCACTCACCACGGGTATCGACCCGCTCTCCTGCAAGCCATTCTTCTTCCTTCCCTTCCGGTCTCCGTGGCTGATCATAAACCTTGAAACGGTCGACTAACTCTTTGAAGCGCACGTCTCCAGAGCCCTTCACGTCGAGATCGCATGAAGTAAATATGTACCCCACAGAGCCGTTAAGTGATGGAAGAGCATTCATAGAATACGTTGTCTTGAATAAAGGATTGGGGGACTTGGAAATGGAGAAATGCAGGCCCCGGGGTACCGAGAAATCGAGAATAGCTAGACGCACAGCCAGTTAGTTGATTCTTCGCACTCAGGAGATTTGACCGACCATTAGAAGACCGTGTTAGGTTGGCATAGAGATTGTCTTCATTCCAACCTGTGGCATGGTAGTAGCTGCGCAAGACGTATGAGGCGAAGGGATGCATGCCAGTGGTGATGGTGAAGACCAAGAGTTCAGTAGCGATCGACACGAATCTCGAGATTAGCGCTCTAAAGCTGTAGCAAGTTCTCTCCACCTCCCCGCCCCGGCTACAGCTGAATTATGGTATTCTGGCTGACGCGCTGACGTTCGACACTGACATGGCATCGTTGTTTCCGCCATCGGGCCCCACACTTCCTCCGTTCCGTACGCTACTCATACAGGGCCCTTACCATCCTACGGCACCTATTCATCTTGTGCTCTCGCACACTACCGAGAATCCTTCAGCCAAGGCAATTTTACTGTCAACGTCCAAGAAGAAGCTTTTTTCATCATTGAAAGAGTCACTCGATGACTGGCTAGCTACTCACGGCTCCGATGGTCGCGTCTGCAACTCTGCCTCGCGAGTCAACATCCAGTCGGTACTGTTTTGCTTCTCGGCGTAGTAAGCTTATTCGTGCGCAGCTATCCGCGTAGCCCTGCGCACCTCGCTCTTCTCCTGTCAATGTTACACACGTACAATGGGGCATTCTACCATCCTAAGACCACAATTGACAGCGCCACTTCCCTTCTTGTTCTCCATGAACTCTCTGCATATTTCTTGTTGAACAACTCTGAGGCCACGTATGTACGTTCGTATATTCTCGTGTGCAGGAATAACGCGCAAACATCAGTTCAGCGTGTCATCGTACCTCTCTTTAGTTTCGCATGCTCTAGCAGCGGCTACGACTTTATCATCGGACTCGTCAGTATTTTTTGTGGCACTAGTGAGTCACCCTGAAACTCTTTTTAGTTCTGACGTCGTGCTGGCCCTTTTCGACTCTGGCTTGGAACAATTGAAGCTGCCGATCATCCGTCCTGTATCCCATGATGCAAGCGACGGCAATCCGCCTCCGATACGGAGCGAGCTTGTGGCTGGTTTCGTCCAAAGGTACTTCCAGTGGGTAGGTGTAGTTGAAGGTAAGTCCTGCTTACCGGTATGATCTTGTGTCCCGTCGTTTGGTTGAAAACATCATCAGTGGACATCGAGGTGGCCCACCCAGCTGTTTCGGGGCGGATGGTAATGATTACTTTACGCGGGGGCTCGGAAGACGAGATCACATGGAAGTGGTCCGAAAGTGGCGATGCAGGCGGGGTGACCTTTTCTTGGCAGTAAGATATGATGAGAGTCCTGCGTTGTGTCCTAGTGCAGCAACGCTGCAGCAAGTCTTAATATTGATGTTCAAACGGCTACGGCGCATGAGTATTTGAGAAAGACGGACCGGGAGAAACTCATACGTGTCCGCACATGCAAAGGTGATCCCGTGATCGCTTCGCGTGAGTAGCCTTCTGAATTGACGCGACTCCTCTCCACAACGTCTTATGTCTGTCCTCTGTGCTAGTCTTCTCTACTAAACTAATCTCTGGACTGAGGGATGGAATTCTTCAACGATGTCGGGGGAGATCCCCTGAAGCCCACCCTCTTTGAGCTCGTTGCCCAAGAACAGCTGAGGGATCTGCTGCAACCCGCTCTGAAGTATGTCTTATCGGTAAGTTAGGAAGCGAGTGGAAACTGTCCTGTCATAGATGAACCCGTACCTAAGGTCTTCGCCCAACGATACCCACGCCACCTCTTAAAGGTAGTGAATCGGCATGAGGAGTTCTATGCTATCCTCATGTTCCTCGTAGAGCGGCATTACCTTCGCAAACATGGTGAGAACTACTGGCTTGTTCATTTATATGCGGAGTTTCATCTGTGTAGGTGCTTCTTTTGCGGAGAATTTCTACGGCCTGAAGCGACGGAGAAGACCTCTGTTTGAGACAGAACGTGCGCGAACTGCAGTTCCAGGCGTCCCATCTGAAGAAAGCCTGCGAAATCAGGACATATGGAGGTCCTTGTTCTTTCTCGTGCGTCTGTGTAATCACCCTCCGTTGGATGTACTTAGGGCCAGTAACAGATTGGATTTCCGTACCTGCGTACGAAAGCTCAAGACTACTTTGAAGAGCTAGGCGGTGGTGTTCAGTCTGAGGTAATCGAAGAAAGTCTAGCAAGTAGACAGCTCCGAGCGTTGACTCAAGAAGTGGGTATATTAATCATTAGAGGGACCCATCTCTCACACGTTCGGCAGACTTTTGCGGGTCGACTACGGAGGATATACAAGACAGTGTATCCTTGGCTTAATACAAGCTTGGAAGTATGGCTCCTGGTATGCAATATCGCATATCTGTGTAACCAAACTCCATTCTATCGACCATGGCTTTCATGGATCGGGGTGGACATTCGCCGCGTTGGAATGGATGATTTGGTTTGTTCTATTCATCAAAGTTGAAATTCCGCTGACGTACATTAAAGCATGCTGCACAGCGGACACTGAAGCCACAGTCACCCGTGAGTAGGTCACGCGGGCTGTTGGCGGGTCTACGACGGCTACTATTGTCATCACCACGGCTGATGCTCGACTCTCTGAGCGTTCTCCTGCCTACCGCCATATTTTTCATCAAGTTCTTGGAATGGTGGTATTCGCCCTCTTCACCAGCGCGAACGCTGTCTTCGTCACCGCTAGGACCAGCGGTGCCGCCGCCACGGATGTGTCCGCCTCATCCGCAGGGGATTGCGTTGGACCACACAGGCTACGGCTCATGCCCACTCTGCCGCGAAGGCATATCGAACGCTACTGCGTTGCCCTCAGGCTATGTGTTCTGCTACCGCTGCGCGTTCGAGTATGTCGAGACACATAGAAAATGTCCTGTAACATTGTTACCCACGCAGGTGTGGCAGCTCAGAAAGATACTGATCTGAGCGCGTTGATTGTACGCACGTTCATAGAATCCGATCGGGTAGATTATCGCGAAGCAAGATTGTAATGGCACGTGGGTGTAGTAATGGTAGTACTAATAGCACAATGTGTTCTGCACCAGACTTTGGCAATGGGGGGGCCTGCGACTCCCGCGATTATTTAGTTCTTCCAATCAGTACTTCTCATATACGGCTCCGAAGCAGTGTACCACTCCGTTCTGACAGCCACCTCCTGAAGGTTTCCGAATATGAAGGTTTTTATCCTGATTTCTCGCTACTGTCCTGGCGTGCACTCAACTATCGTACCTTTTAGTTTGGCAAGCAGATTCAAGCTGAGCAGGTCCCCGGATGGTCTGCGTACTACTTGGACTATAAGTCCCTGAAGAAGATCATATCTTCTCTTGCAGCCAACCGCCCCGCGTCCGAGGCAGCAGCGTTAGCTCAAGGCATTCGTCCCGGAGACATCTTTACTTCTAGGACGCCTAGTTCTCAGAGCCCCGCAGTAGTCACGGGAGATGTCTCGGAGGATCCTTCTATTCTAGCTGCGTTGGGGCAAGACGACGATCGAGGACCAGGTTTCCAAGCCCACAAGGCCGCCTTCTTCTTTAAACTTGAACGCGAGCTAGAGAAGGTAAGATCGTCTGACCATCCATGCGAGCCGTAATCTCATATTGGCAACTAGATCAATGCCTTCTACTTGGAGAAGGAGGCCGAACTCAAGCTGCGACTTGAAACGTTACTGTCCAAGCGGAGAGCTGCGGCGATGCGTGTACTCCCCGACTCTGTCGACGACGCCACAAAGAATCACGTCGAGTGGAGTGCTGTCGAGGAGGGCTTCCGCCTTCTGGAGCGGGATCTGGGGAAATTGCAGGTATACGAAAGCAACTGCTTGCGTTTACGCTTATACATACTTGATGTCTCTAGCAATTCATTGAGATCAATGCGACGGGTTTCCGGAAGATCCTCAAGAAATGGGATAAGCGCTCCAAGTCGACAACGAAAGAGCTCTATCTCTCTCGACAGATTGAAGTCCAACCAGTCTTTAATAGACAGGTACGTATTGCGCGTGTCGTTTGTGGATGCACTTACATCATGCACACTTCCAGCTCATCTCCGAATTGTCTGACACAGTTGCGGCATGTCTCCTTGATCTGACAGATTTATCCATTGGTCTGAAGCACGAGGGGTCGCATGCGGACGACGTTCTTCTTAGTAAACAACTGGGGATTGACAGGAGCGTCCAGATGGGTCCATTCCATGACCTTGAGAGTAATCTCAGGAAAGCAATCACTGAAGAGGATAGGGCAGCTGTACAGGACATTGTCCGGTACTCTGACTCGCTCGGGCAACTTGGAGAGGCTAAAATGCACGTCACTCGCATTCTATGGAAAGCGGTCATCGACGCACCTCCTGAACTGGCAGACCTTATATTGGCCTCTACTGCTAATCCGTTCGATTACACCTTCGTTGACGATATCAATGGCCGAACTTGTCTACACGAGGCAGCTATAGTGGGCGCTCCTCGTTTGGTTGATCTTTGCTTGGCAAGTGGGGTACAGCGGAATAAGATCGATGTATATGGTCGCTCTGCACTGCATTATGCTGCCATGAATGGGCGCTCCGCAATTTGTCGAAGACTCATCGAGGTCGGACTACCCCCGGACGTCGTCGACATGGACAACTGCACGCCTCTTGTCTACGCCGTTTTGAAGGGCTCCGTGGATTGCGTCCGCGTATTACTCGAGGAAGGGAAGGTCTCGGTACAGGAAGGACAAGTGAGCAGTAATCTTATGCCACTATCCCTGGCAGCGCACGCCGGACACCTCGATGTTGTCATACTTTTACTCCAACATGGTGCACCGAGCATCGCAAACACGAATGGAGAATATCCCATCCATCTTGCCGCCCAAGAAGGTCACGCAGATATCTGCCGATTACTTGCGCTCCAAGAAGGTTGGGATATTTCTGACAAGTACAACGAATGGACTCCTCTATTTCACGCGGCTCGTTTTGGCCGGGAAGCCGCTCTTCAGGTGCTGCTGGAAATCGGCAGTCGCGTACATTTGACCGATGAGGTTGGGAATTCGGCTGTTTATTATGCCGCTTGGTACGGTCATCGAACGTGTGTCACACTCTTACTGGAAGCTTCAGCCAAAATGTCTCCAAGAAGGCTTCCGCTCGCCCACAAGTCTCCTCTGACCGACACTCAAAGATCCACGGGGACTGAATCAGATGTAGACATCATCCCTTCGTTGTATCTGCCTCCTCCCATGATGCCCTATCGAGTCTACGGTCACAACTATCTGGACAAAACATCGTTGATTCAAGTCTCTATCGGACATCTATCCTCACAATATGGAGAATCCTCTGGAGACATCTCTTCGGCTATCCGTCTGCGTCATCCTCTTGCAGATTCACAATTCGACGATCGGTACCTCCACTCATCGCCGCTGTTGAAATTGGTAATGACTGCCACACCAGTTGTAACATCTGCGCCGTATAGCGTCGCGTTGCCAATACGAGAGACCAGGATTGTCTTCACGTTCCAAGTTCCTTCGGTTGATTCGCTCGCATTGGAGTTCTCACTGTATCCGAACTTCGGCACCAAAACTATCGGTCGCGCGACTGCTCTTCCAGATATGTTCCAGAATATACAGAACAACCAACAGTTCGTTTTACCCATTTTAGACTCTCGCCTTCACGTCATCGGAGAGGTAATCTCTGCCTCAATTGATCGCATTAATTTTGGACTAACATTTTGTTGTAGATTTCATTTGAGGTAAACATCATCACTCCGTTCAGCGGGGTCACATTAGAAATTGGCGGCTCCGTAGAGACTTACTGGAAGTCACTGTCTATGCCTGTTCCAGCGCCTACGTCTAGGGTACTGTCGTCGCGGCATACCCAACCAGGGCGACCAATAAACTCTGCCCATACATCGCCGTCAAATCCGTCTGTCGCTGTATTGGGGGGGCATTCGTTAACCCATTCATCCCTTAACGGCTACTACGTATACGTTACTGTACAAGTTACACGAGACTTCTGCCCAGTGGTTTTCGCTGATTGGCTGCTGCCTGAACCCGGATACGAATTGGGCGTCGCGGACGTGACTTTGGCACAGTTTCAAACATTGTCGCAGGGCCTGGGGAGAGAATTGCATTCCTTGGAGGACATTTCACTTTCGGCTGCTGGATGGCACAGTCTGGCAAGCAATTCAATGGTCTCTCTGGCAGATCTGGTAAAGGTGAGTGTAGCTCACGGCGATGGACAGGCCTACCATGTACCAGCTCATTTTCGTATCCTCAGATCATTCCCTCATCCATCGGTATTTGTCTTGAGGTTGCTTATCCCTCGGCGCGGGTCAGAGATCGCCTCCATCTACGCCACCAGCTGGAGTTGAATGATGTTGTGAACGCTGTGTTGCGGACCATTTACGATACATCAACAACACTCGAGGGACGAGCATCCCGCAGCCCTGTGGTCTTTACTTCCTTCGCGCCGGACGTATGCGCGGCTCTCAACTGGAAGCAGCCCAATTGTAAGTGGCAGTGTCCACGTTACAGTATGATATATGTAACTGAAATTTGTAGATCCCGTATTCCTCGCATCGGAATGTGGTGAGCGAAGCAATGCACCACCAAGTGCCGCTGCGCTCAGCTTGGACGATTCGCATGACTATCGGCTTTCGAGTCTTGACTCTGCTGTCGACTTCTCGAAGTTGAACAATCTGCTTGGTGTTCTATTAGATGCAAAACTGCTAGTGCGTCTGGCCAGATACATCAGGACTGTTCGCAAACTGATTGGAAATTGGTAGGCTCAGGTCCCTTCTGTGATCCAAGGAGTGAAAGACTTCGGGCTACTGGTCGCAGCCTTCGGGACTCCAGACGATCTGGCAAGGCTGCCTATGTCTTCCGGAGCAGACTCTAACAGGATAGACGCATCTCTGCAAGACGGACTGTTGATGTACATTGACCATTATAAACGCAGTTAGTATTCAATAATGTGTAATATGCCACGACAGTTCTGGACGACTAGACCGACCGACTCAGGGATCACAGCCCACTTTTAAGCAATTCTACGCGACGACGACAGTTGAAGTTGTTGCTTCCTCCATCAGGTGGAAGCACGATATAGTGCCGCGTATGTACCATCCCGCTTCAGGAGCTCCTGATGGGTCCCGAATTCAGATACAGTCTTAAGTAGAACGTCAGAATCGCGGTAGGGTCAGCGAAGCTCCCTGTTGTACACTCACCCCGTTCTCCATCATGGCAATTTTGTCCGCGCGACGTGCCGTGGAGAGACGGTGGGTTATAAATATCACAGTCTTCGTGCGTTCACCATTCGGCAAGCATGAGATCTTCTCGATACTTTCAAAGATCCAATTTTGTGCGTGCGCATCGAGTGACGAAGTCTGCAGTCTCGGTGAGATCGCCATTCGGAGCAACAACTGCGCACAGGTCCTACCGGTTCATCAAGGAGGAGAAGCTCGACCTCGGGTCGATGCGCTCTCATGAATGCTCTGGAAATCGCTATTCTTTGCCACTAGAGGAAAAATTAGTATTTCAGCTGAAAAAATTAACTTGCAAAACTACCTCGCCGCCGGATAAGCCGTGATGGGCGTGAGCAGAAGTCATGTCAGTAAACCCAGAAGGGTCGTGGCCAGCCGTGTCTAATTTGGTCCTTAGGCCTTGGGGCAAGGAATATACGATCTCTCGTGCTCCGGCCAAACGGATCGCCGAATCGATTGCGGCAGAGCTATTCATATCCTCGATGCGGCCAACGCCAATATTTTCTTTCGCCGTTGCGCTGAACTTGGAGAAACCTTGAAATACAGCGGTGACGTGCGTGTGATAGTCCTCCGGACGATACTTGCGAATATCGGCACCGTTGACGAATAGACTGCCGCTATCAAATTCCAAGATACGCAGCAGAATATTGGCAAGGGTTGATTTACCTTGGAAGTCCTAAATCAGTATGGCGGGTGGTGAATACAGCATAGAAACTCACCAGACCCATTGAAGCCAACAATCGCCAGTGTCTCCCCGGCGTCGACAGTGAGATTAATATTCCTCAGAGTCGGCTCTCTACAACCCGGATATGTGAAGGATAAATCCCTGTCTCGTGCGTCATCAGATGATGAGGTTTGCGGCGGGAGTAAACCTACTTTGCTTCGAGCCTCATGCCGCTTCTCGACCGTCTGTAAGTAATCGCCTCCGTCTTGGGGCATAAGCGCGGTTCGATCTCCATAGCGGCGCAAAAAGCACCCATGAGGAAAATGCCTTGATACGTCAGCCGAATGGACTGTAGTAGGCTTGAGGCAGTCAGAAATAGAGATTGTATGGAGCTGCGATATAGGGTAAAGGAGCCTAATGACGTTGAGGAGTATTGGAGAGCCAATATTAAAGGGATCTGAGAGGGATAAGTAATTAGCTGTGGATCGAAAAAACTGACGGCAGGATACATTTTGTATGGTAGCAAGCAAACCAGATACATTTATCTGGGATAGAAACACTGAGGATAGTTGTGGTCCAGTCGTTGACTGTTGCCGTTCTAATCCTAGCATCAGCTTCCGTGCGCGAGCCCAAGAGCGTAATATCCACGGCCCAAGCCCGAAGAGTAAAATTTCTGGACGGTATGGGTCGCTGTGGGCCAAAAGACGCATTTTCTCCTGTTTCGCCGATGTACGAGCTTCCAGAGGGCTAGTGAGATCGTCCATATATGTTCGACTGCGCCCGAACCAAGCGGAAATCAAAGGCAGTAACGAAGATATAATTGGCAGCAGAAGGGCGAAAATGTGGATACTGCCAGATGCTAGAGACGACAAAACCAGCACATGAGATACAAGCTCCGATGCCAGGCTCACGATGCGGGTAAGGTCAAGTACGGAGAACAATCCGAAGCTCGACATGCCATTGAACGATCGGACAAAGAGCTCCGATTCATGCAGCAGGTCACGAATAAGTGGGTCGGCAAGAGTCGGGACGTCCAGATGCATTCGCTTCTCCATGAGTCTAAATTCTATCAGAAAGCGTGTGGAATTATGGACTATATCCTCATTTGATGACCTGACGAGATCTATTCAGAATTAAAATCGAACACGGCTATTTTTGTTTGCGCTCACGCGAACGAATCTATGCAGCTCTCCATTCCCAATCTGACGAGTTCAGTAAAGAGAAGCCACGAAAGTCGTGATCCAGTGAAATTTCCCGACGAGATTGCGTGCTGAATCTAATACCCTTCTAATAAAAATCAATCAATCGTAGAATCGAACGAAAACATACTTCATCAATCAAAAGCGCTTGGGAATACCCTCTGAACGCAGGGAAAACGCCGCGCGTAAGGTCCAACATAAGCATGAGGATACATCTCCAGGGTTGGAGGGCCAGCAGTTCCACTAATAAATCCCAGGCACACATTCGAACGATTTTACATGCGAGTGCAAGATTGGTTCTAGTAAGGGGACGACGAGCTCCAGGTGAAAGATGATCAGGACCACCTCGCGAAGATAGCCAAACGTCGTATATTGTGAGATCTTCTGGCTGGACATCTTCCCGTGTCGGCCGGAGGGAACGCTTTCCATCAGACTCCGATGGACCGTGGCTGGTAGTGCATGCAGGAAAAGAGTGAAGGTATCCCCGTAGGAGAGATTGCAGTGAATCCAAACGATTCATGCTCCAGCAAGATGGGGTGGGATTGAACCCCGCATGGTCTGTATAAGAGCTGCTGCGGGAGTCATACACGTCAAGCACGCTTTTTGTTTTGTCCCCCTTCCATAAGATGAGATCCGGGTTGTCTTCATTGTTACCATTACGCCCATGGGCAAACACACTTTATGGGAAACGCGTACCGAGAGAGCACTTGGAATGAAATCAGGTGCACAAATTCTCGGACACGATCACGGATAAGACTACGCTGAGGAGTTGAGGAGAAGGAAACAATAAGAGAGATACCGACATGGAGCAAATTGCAATCCCTTTCGAATGTCCTGATCAAGGAGGTGCGCGTCCGGCCCTTGCATTTTCCTTTCCGAGCCGCCGTTCACTTGCTAGCCACGTGCCCGTGATCTTTGCACTCCAGTCCTGCGAAAGCAGAAAATTCTGCTCAAATGCTCACTCCGGACCCACGCTGGCTTTGAGCGCTGCACATCTTTCGCAGCACCCATCATGTCCCTCCCGCCCAGCGACGTCACCCATGCAGCCCTCGTCTCGCAAAGTTTACGAAAGCTGCAGGCAAATGAACATGTTAGTGACGGCATTGATCCGCATGCCGGGGACGAACCTTCAACACCAGGTGGTAATGGCGAGCACGACCATACTTCGAGCCCAGGTCGTCTTAACCCTCATGTGCGCGAAGGATATGGCTTCCGACCCTCTTCTGGTGTTTCTACCCCAAATATACCATCGTCCTCCTTCGAATCAGGCAGTCCTTTGCCCGATCCCAACGGCTTAGGATGGCCCGGTGAGATATCGGAATATGTTCTTATAGTTGTTGTCGTTCTGACAAACTCCTACAGCGAAGTCAACGCTGTATCGCTTGAATGCTACACCCGCCCAGCGGGTCGAACGGGAGCAGAAACTCGCTGCTGCCGTTCGAACTATTTTGGACTGTATCGGTGAGGATCCAAACAGGGAAGGCCTCGCTAGAACACCAGAACGTTATGCGCAAGCGCTCATGTGGATGACTCGAGGTTACGAGGAACGTCTTGCAGGTGCTGCAAACTCTACGTGATCTCGATGCGGGTAAATTGTGATATATGTGAACAGACATCATCAACGACGCTATCTTCGCGGAGGACCACGACGAGATGGTGATAGTGCGTGACATCGACATCTCCAGCCTGTGCGAGCATCATTTAGTCCCATTCATGGGTAAAGTACGTGGCCTGATGTTGAAGGAGTTGGCAGTTTTGCATCTGATTGCTGTTCGAACGATCAGGTTGCAATAGCATACATTCCGAACAACCTCGTACTCGGCTTGTCGAAGCTTGCCCGTATTGCTGAGACATTTAGCCGTCGCTTGCAAGTACAAGAGCGTTTGACGAAACAGATTGCACTTGCGGTGCAAGAAGCTATTAAACCACGAGGAGTTGCTGTTGTAATGGAGGCTACGTGAGTCACTCCTGCGTTGTATTCTATTTACCAGTTTACTAAGATAACTGCAGCCATTTGTGCATGACAATGCGCGGTGTGCAGAAACCAGGCTCGATGACCGTTACTTCATGCATGCTCGGGTGCTTCAGAACCCAGCAGAAAACGCGTGAAGAGTTTCTTACTCTGATTAAAGGACGGTGACGGCCTCCCATCTCGATCCTACTTGCATCGATTCAACTCGCACTGCTTCACCTCACATTGGTTTCACCCGCACCACACTGTAGCACACAATTCAACATTGCATTGTAACTTATCTGGATCAGAATCGAGCAATTAATTGTCGAACCGGCGAGAGGCGAGCTTTTGAGCATTGACGGATGGATCGATACACACCAGTGACTAGAAATTATGCTACAACATGCAAGACGATGCCAGAAGGATAGATGGTGAATGAGGATTAAGGATTTCGACTAGTACGACTCTTGTCCGCCTGTTGTTCGAGGGGCAGCAAGTTCTTCACAACACCGTGAATAGACGGGTAACGATTGCGATTGATACGGGGACGCTTTGGCGGTCCGGCGGACTCGCTGGTACCAGGTGCGGCATCACCGGCCTCTTTCTCGCGCTCTGACAGAGCCGTAGTCAGTTTTCTGCATCGGGTCCATAGCAGTTGAGAATCTGACGCACCGGACAGCGTTCGCTTTCTACTACCGTCCCGTTCATCATCTCTGTTCGGGAGGTCAGACTTCCGATCAGCTGCAGCCTCAGACCGATAGCTCGATGGGGCTTGTGGAAGTGGAGGGGGTTCCTTGGCACCTATACGGGAGCGCAAGCTCCCACCCGATATACCTACGTCCTGTGAACTAGAAACGCTGCCCAAACTCGCAGAAGGACCGATCGGGGTAACTTTCCAGTCTCTGTCACGTGGCGCTGATGGGTCAGGCTTCAGATTGCGAGAGCCATCGCCCGAGGCCATCGCTCGAGGAGCAGATGGAGTACTTGGGGGTAGCGACTTCGCTGATGAAGGACCGTCCGGAATCCGTTTGTCGCCGAACTGAGCGTTTAACCCACGTCTGAGTGTTCTACTAGCAAGTACAAATTGAGTGGACATACCTTGGTATCCACTGCAAGGCTTCTGTTGTCGGACTCGGTCGCCTCCCGCTCCTTTCTTCGACGGTCAGATTCGCGAGGCCGGTCATGACCGTCTTTGTCTGAGGAACGGCGGCTCCTGTCTTCATGATGGCTCTCTTTACGAGACGATCGCTTCGAGTTGCGGTCACTCTGTAGCAGAGTTTAGCACTTGCGTGGCATTAGAGAGACAAACACTCACGTCGTCGTCGGTGAGCCTCCTCCGCTTACCCAAAGCATCGTCACTATGCTGGGTGGCCGGACGGTGGCGAGAAGGATCAGGTCTCGTAGGAAGACCGCGGTCATCAGTAGGAGCTGGAGTGGTTGTTGCAGCGGAAGATCCACGAGTTGCTGCGTCTCTCTCCTTCCTGTCCCGGTCGCGATCTTTTTCATCTCGACGGTGACGGTCTCTATCTCTGTCGCGTTCACGGTCGCGATCCCTGTCCCGGTCCCTGTCGCGGTCTCTATCCCTGTCACGATCTCTGTCCCGGTCCTTGTCTCTGTCACGATCTCTGTCACGATCCCTGTCTCGTCCTCTCTCTCTGTCCCCGTGCCTGTCCCGACCTCTGTCCCTATCCCGCTCGATTTCCTTGTCTCTGTCAGGATCGCGTGTTCTTCTTGTGTTTCCTTCGCCACGAGGATGGCTGGCACTCTCGCGGCGTGATAGGTCACGGGTGTCTTGACGAGCTTCACGCTCTGAGCGCTTTTCCTCCGAACGATCTCCGTCACCGCGATTTGAACGACGGCCACCACTCGCCCGACTTTCTGCACTAGCGTTCCTAGTCCCTGGCCGACTTGAGGGTGACGGTGATCGACGGCGGGAAGATGGTGATGGTACAGCAGGCGCCGCCTGACTGCGAGTCTCCGTCGATGGCTGAGGCTGCTTCTCTTCGTTCTTCTCCGACAGCGAGCGACTCTGCTTAGCGGTCTCCCTTAGTTCTTGTGCGGACAATGTCTGGCTCGGGATGGACGGAGGAGGCATGGTCTGTGGGGAATCCACACGAGGAACCTTCTGCTCAGACGCAGCAGTGACTTGGAGAGGTCTAGGGATGTGACCTGCGAGTGTCCGGCCACCATCAACCTCGTCTGATATGGAGGCGACAGGTGCTTCTGGTGGTCGAGGAAGATCTTTGGCGGGAGTAGGAACAGTGTTGTCATATTGTGCAGATTGAACGTTCGTAGAGACTACGCGAGATGGACGTGCGGGTAAGGAGGTGTTTATCGCGTTCTCGTCCACACGCGGAATTGGATGGTCAACATCCATCGGTTCTCCATTCGTGGTCGCTTTCACATGACTAGCGGTTTGACTGGCTTCCGGGGGTCTCGAATCAGTTCTAACCCTCTTCACAACGTCAGGTCTCGGCACACTGCGAAGTCCAGAATCGTCAGCGATTGCTTTAATATAGACATGGAATTACTACCTTTCCATCGCTAGCTTGGTAGATGAGATTGTCGAACCCGGTCGATCGCCAACCGTATGTGGGGTGCCATTGATTCCCGCTAGCTGGGCCCGAGGTGCAGACGGCGTAGAGGCTGGTAAAGCACTGGACGGCCGGCGAACTTCGGCAGCAAGACCTCCAGGAACAGGGTTGACAGGCGGAGTGGCAGTACGAGCTTTGTCGGCACCATTCGTTGCTGGCCTAGAGGCCGTGCCTGCAGGAGCGGCCTAGAAAAACGGTTAGCGCACAATAGAACAGAAGATACGTATCGCCAACTTTAGTTTTTGGCGCCATCCAACTAGCTTCTCTTTTCTTGAGGCTAGCAAGATATCTGACAAGAGGTCATCAGTTACTGCGAGCCACCTACGAAGATTCGAAACAATGGTCACTCACGCCCGACCAAAAATCTTGATATCACCACGATCCTCCTTGTCCAACAAACGCTCCATGGCCATATTCAAGCTACTCCCAGCATATTCGTTCACCGTCGCTACAGGGAAGGCCGGCAGAATCTCCTTTAGAACAACGATAGCATTATACACATGCATGAATTCAGCAGTTTCTATGCAATCCAGGAGACACTAGGTCGAACCATGTTAATTTTCGAATTGCATTATGGTAAACACACTACTCGCCTTTAATAGCTTTCTATGCCATTTGCGTACTATCTGCTTGTAGTCGAGCCAAGGAATAATATCCTCGATCGTGAGTGCACTCTTGGCAGTCCAGCGCCGCTGAAGCCCAGGAAGATACGTTGTTTTGCCGCCAGTCTTTGTACGATTCTCTTGAAGAAACGCTTGTTCATCTAGGTACCATTTGGCTACATCTGTCAGAATTCCTAGTAGGAAGCGCCCTGCAAAGCAATCAGTGTACCATTTTTAATAAGAGACAATCATCATACCATAATTCTTAGCCTCGTATTCACTACACGAGAAAATAACGACTTTCACATGGTCTCCCAATATCTGAGGAGCGTGTCAATGTTGCTCCGCGACACGGGAACCGTAGAACTAACCTTGTCATAACACATGAGAGTGGAGAAGCCAGGTGTACCTTGTGAGTGGATTACTTTGATGAACTGGGCACAAAAATCCGCATCCATTGGAGACAAAAGACAACGGGGTTGGAGACAGTGTTCTATGAATGATGCTGCAAGAACAGCTGCCTTGGGATCTGATACGATGTCAATAGCTTGCATACACAAGTAATGTGTACACACTGTGTGAGAACCAATGCTGCTTTTCACGAGCGAGACGCTTGATTGTGAATACACGGGCGGCAGTTTGCTCTTTCAACTCTTGACCCAGCAGATTGACATAAGTATTGTATCGGTTACGCCTGTCCCTATGGTTAGCCGCCGTTAGTCGTTTTGCCCTGTCGGACGAGCGATCCGCTGCGTTATATCTAGCATCCTCTTGTCGACTCAGGGCGCGCAGCGCGGCACATTCTTCGTCGTATCTTGCAGCCGGAGGAGTAAGGTCGTAGGTTGAAAGCTGCCAGAAAGTAAGGTAGAAACCAGGCCTGAGAGCAGGCAGTTAATTAGTACCAAACACATAAGAAAAATAGATGATAGTACCCCATTATTTCAGCGGCATTTCCAGGAGCGATCTTCTTGACCACGTCGAAATAAGGATACAGCTCTGGTAACCAAGGTGACTGCAAAAATTACCTGTCAGCAATTCGTGCAATTATTTGGGTGTGTGGATATATCCTACCTCTGTCGTATGAGGAGTAGAGTTGCCCTGACCTTCTGATGGTGACTCCATCGATACGTCCGCCGCATGTGTCTCCGCCACGCTGGCTCTGGCATCTGTATGAGATTCCGTGGCCGTAGAATTATCGCCCATGCCAGGGGAAGCGACGCGAGAAGTCGAAGCATTAGGTTCTCGCTTTGCAGTGAGAGCAGCCTTGAGACGCTTCTCAGCTTCCTCGCTCGCTACCCGCTCTCGTTCTTGCATCTCCAGGGCAGCAGACTACCGACCACTGCGATCAGTATCTTTGCGATGTCCTCAAATATAGCAATGCACACCAATAGAGCCCCACTCAGCACCGGCCGAACCATTTGCATGCATATCGGAGCGCATATACCGTATTTCTCACTGAGGTCGGTGAGAGAAGGTAATATACGCTGAGCGTAATCTTGGGGAGGAACTACTGCCGGGGAAGTGAGCAGCTCGATGTATTGGAGTAGCACCCCGTGCGTCTGAGAAAGAAATCAGTGAGAGGTGCATTCACAACCCGTCATTGGACATGCCGCTCACAGTGTCATACAAGTTGGCCAGCGATTTCAGGTGGGCATTCGGTGCTTGGAAAACGCACGATTGTCTTTGCTGAGCGACTTGGATGAGTAATGGCTGCGCCAACGACGACTCTAGTAATGCTCTCCCAAGTCTTTGTGGTCCCTTCAATCCAGCATCACTCGGGTCGAGGCGAGCCCCCCGATTACGCGATGCAACCGCTTCAATACGGAGCACGGGGCCACCTGCCATCGCCGTGATCTGCGAATCCGTCATACCGGGTAAGGGTTCAATGCCAGCCATCTTCGAGATCAGCTCCCGTAGCACTACGATTTCCGTCGTCTGGCCACCGTGGAGTTGGTGCACAATGTACTTGAGGAGCGGGTTCAGATCGGCACTATAGCGACGGAACAGCATACCAGTGAACGAAGCCAGGTCTACGAATTGGTGATAAGCTAACTAAGGGCAAGTGGCCATAACTATTTGTTCACTCACTCTGAAGCCAGTCGGACGTGTTCACGCCGTCAATCTTGAACCGATCTTTGTGAGGGTTGGCTAGGGCCTCCAAGACGATGTACACAAGGACATCGAAACCCATGATGGTCACGTAGTTCAGTGCCTGAATGACCACTTCAGCCATGTTGCTGTAAGCCATGATCTGGTTGACGGCGTTTGCAAAGAAGATGCACGGATTGGAGTGAGCTAACTTCGCCACTGCCCCCGAAAGAGTATCCATCGTATTCTTTGAAACGCGACGCAATATTCCCTTTGATTCGCGGTCAGTTTGAACCCGGCGTAGTCGTAGTTCGGGATGCGACTTGTAGGTGCTCGACTTCCATTCACCGTACAACTGCCAACGGAGGGTGGTGTCGTATAGTCTCATGATATTCCACACTTCTACCGTGCAAACGGCATTTCCACGGATGAGCGGAAGGGCTGGAAGCAGGTACAGCCGCAGAATTTTAAACCAGAACAAACGAATAGGGTGCTCGAGGTCAGTTGAACTAGTAGGCTTCCTTGTGTCTGGGTCAAGAACCACCTGCAAGTATGATCAGCAAACCTGGTCAATAAGTCAGGAAAGCGATCTACCGTCTGCTGTAAATGCGTTCGGCCAAGACGTAGGAATTTCGTGAAGAAGGAATTGTCCCGAGATATGTGCAGTCCAATGAAATGCATGAGAGGTTCGATAACGTCAACCAAGTCATCCAACGTTGAGCAGATGGGCACACGTTGTGACCAGTCTGGAAAGAAGAATACAAAGTCGATGTTGATTGTGCTTGGAGGTGTAGGAGCGCAAAGAGTAAGATGTGGTTTTCGCTCAGGAGCGGCAACTACACCGGTGGGACCAAAGCGAGCCCGCGGCTGTGTGAAACTAGCATTCCGCTCCTTTGTCGGTTGAGTGGAGTCATACAACGCAGACAGAGAAAGCTTCAAGATGCGGAGCATCAAGTCGGCAACCTCAGGGAATGCGTCGACCAGCCATGGAAACTTCGACAGGATGGCGACTGCGGGTCTGAGAGCCCCGACGGACAGCAATGCATTCAGAAGCCCAAGCTTTTGGTTTGGCACTTCTTTCGTCTCGCTGGTTCTCTTTGGCTCTGAAGACACCGCTGGGCGGGACTTGGAGGACTGAGTGCCTGATTCCAGGGGTGCAGCCATCGCTAGCTGGCTAATCTTTGCGCCCGAAATTCTTGCATCGACAGTTGCTAAGTACTCCTTTCTCCAATTATCCATGTCCTCGTCTGTGGGCGATATCTGGAATCCCGAGTGAGCGATAAGATCGAACAGCATTCCATGAATGGACATACATGAGCATAGACATCTTCCAATGTGATAAAGCCTTCTCGAACAAGAATTGCAGTCATCAAGAACAGGCTGTGCGGCGTGATCTCAGAAACTTCTGGCGACTGTTTCGGTATAAGTGGAACAGCAGTGGTATTCTACATTTAGTCTCTCACCTGATAATGGCTGAACTTAAATCCCAGCACTTGAGCCAAGACTCTCGTATGACTTCCTTCAGATGAAAATCGTGGTGGCTCGGCGGTCCAAGGGTTTGATGAAGCCTCAGCCGCGAATAGGACTTCATCCAACGACTTTCCCCGGTATTGATTGCCATCCGGACCAACAGCCATGGCATCTTCCTTGCCTGAGCGATGTTCCTTGCGGCGCACTGACCAAGGCGAGAATGAAAGAAACGACACGAAAAACGTGTGATGAGTGGCAAGGTGGGTCGAGAAGATATCAAGAATTATATCCAACGCGCGGTTGGGATCGAGGTCGAAGTAGCCAATGAGGCCTACGACGCGTTCCCATGCAGGACGGGCGCGTGCCTCGATTGAAGTAAGACTTTCTACCGGGTATCCCGTAGCAGAAGAGTTTGGCGGCCCTAAGCAGCTCGTGAGCTCTGTAGTGAGCTTGCTGTAACCTTCAGATTGCTCCCTGAGAAGATTGAACTTGTTCTGCTTGTAACTGTTTTCCGCCTCTGGTGAGCCGAGACTCCATCCAGAACATAAGTAAATAGACATACAAGAGACCAGTTCTCGTGCGGATCTCCTTCCTCTCGAAAGCATTCTTGTCGGTGATAAGACCAGCGTTAGCGATGAGGGATATATCAAGTCTCTCTCTGCAGACATCTGTATCAAGGACACCAAGAGTCTACAGGCATATCGTCTGAGTGCTGCCAGAACACGCTGCATGACGCCACTCACAAGTAGTCGTCTAACTATCGTTGCTAGCGTGGCCTTGTCTGCCTCAGCATTCTGCTTTGATCGTAGCACCTTCGCCACTGTAGCCGCAATATCTTCTTTGTCCTTCGCGGTCAAGCCAGCGCTCCCCTGCTCTGCGTTAGTAGCGGCCTTGGTGTCGGCAAGTATCTCCTCCAGTTCGGCATCGATTGTCCAAACGATGTCGACAAGAATTTCACCAAAAATTACCGTATTAGAAGATTTGACGGCAGAAATGGAAGATGACGGGACATGGTCAAGGACCGACTGAACAAACACAATGAATGAATCAGTCGTGAGCGTGTGCTTCGGTGACCAACTCGAGAGAGTGGAGGCAAGAAGCGTATGGTACACAGTTGTCAGCACGTCGTTGCAACTGGGATCAAGCGGGTTCGAATGAGGCTCCATTAGGATTTTACGGCTGTGGCGGAGACGTGAGGGTAAATTCATAGATGATACACCGGACACGAACCAAGAGGCGCTCCCGCCATTTTCCCATTTAGCAAGACAGTCTTGAGCTGCATGTACAACGTCCAAGGAAAGCGGATCCATGGACGTGAAGGAGGTGTGCAGTCGTAGTTGTGGTTGTGGCCGAGCGTGCAGTGCGCACTGACTGTGGCGAGTATTGACGTTTGTTGTGAAACATCTTTTATTATTACGTAATAAACGCGTGACAAAAGAGGTCCCCTTTATGGGATGCGCTTAGCCCAACTAGATGTGTCACTGTCACGTCGCGGTCTACACTCGGCTGGTCGTTTCTGGCTTTCACCACGTCCGTGATGAAGGCCACGTCCGACTGACCCCAATAAACGCGAATTCTGTCCACGGATCCTTCGCCTTTCCTTGAGCTTCACCTGGTCAATCGAGAATGCTTGTCATCTTCTTGTTGTCGCTCCTCGGCGCCCTTTTCGTCTGTTGTCTCCTCTTTCCATCAGTACGGGATTCTATCACGGCTGGAGATGAGTTGCTCGACATTCATGAAGCCGGTCTCGCTCTTGTGTCTTCTCGTGAGTTGTCAAGCTCGTCTTCTGGACGATGCGCCGACCCCGTTCGCTAGGCACTCCGTTCCGTGAGACGGGACCACCGGCTTGTATGGCTAAGCTTATCATGTTGAGACACAAAGTGCGCTCTTCTCTCTCTCGATGGTCATTACTTTTGCTGATTTCGCGCTCAGATCAATCAGGACAACACTCGGAGACGGTGTAGCGTCAGCCGTGTCCGCCAGGCGTCGCGCACATACCATGTCACTCCTTATCGTCCATCTCGCGACATTCCTTGGGTACGGTTTGGGAGGGCGCACGGGAAGCAAAACCATTGATTAATTGCTTTGGATAATGGGACCTTGGAAGCTGCTGCAGCATCGCACTTATCTATACCCGTCGATCCTGCCACGATCTATACCTTGTGTTGTTCGCCAAGCTTTCTTGAATAATAATTAGTGGCTGTAGTTCATGCGTTCGTGGTACACCCGGTTCATGTATTTCGTATTGATTCATGAGGCCGATGCATACGTACTTCTATGGCGTGACTTCGTTTGGCACTAGGGCTGCCAGTACTTGGGACGAGGTGCTGCATCACAAACTTGAAGTAGATAGACTAGCTCGCTCATTGTGAGCACGCTTGCAAATTGTTGCGTTTGAATGAAAGGTCAAATACACAACTATGTATGTGATCTCAAGAGCATGCATATGGCTTCCATGATACAAAGCAACAATAACCAAATAAACACAGTGAGTGACACGAGGTGATGAATCGAAGACTACGAACGCTAAGGCCTTAGCGTTCGTGCGCTAAGGACCGAACCTGCTGCGTCTGCTGGGAACAGCAGACAGCGCACTTGATGCTTTCGTCAACCGGGCAGGTTGGCTCGCTGCCTCGGACCCCTTCGTGTCCCTGCGCTGTCCAGTGACGGACCCACCTGTCCTTGCTCTTCCGTGTCCGGTAACAACAGATCCACCCGTGGAATATCCTGTAGCACTGTTTCGTGACGTGCGCTCACTTCGAGCCCAACTCTGCATTCGAGCACGATTGCGTTCATCGTCTTCGCGAACACCTCGTGGCCGCTGTACAACATAAAGTAGGTGTAAAAATGGCCCGAGGTTCACATGCTTAGGCTTACCTCGGCTAAAGCAGCGTCCCAGTTTGTACGCGCACTCATGCCGGCTTTAGAGTTGGTGGTAACTTCCTTTACTCTCAAGCTCAGTTCATCTTCGTGGTCGCGTTCGATCCACGCGATGTTTCGGCTGTCGAATGCCTCGACCTACGACCACAATTCAGGAGAAGGCCACGCAGATGAGAGATCACTCAACTTCGCCCCAATTCGTGTTGTAGATTTGCGCAAAGGAAGTGACTTCTTGGGCATTCTCGTCGTCTTGGCCGTCCTCATCGACCAGTGTCATCTCATCGTGTTGCATATGGGCAAAATCCTCGGCGTCCTCTTCTTCAGCATGATATGCCGCAACGAAAGCTAGAGTTTCCTGATGTCTCGCTACTTCAAAGTCAGATTACTGCCGCAAAATTATGATCGTGATCAAACGAACCTAACTCTTCAAGGCTATCGCGGTCGATTTTGCGTTTCTTACTGATAGTGTTCCGTCGCAGTCTCCTCGCCTCATCGTCGTCGTCGGAATCGCTGCCATCAAAACCAACACCTCGATCACGTCGTTTAGTCCTATATTTGCCCTCGATGGCGTCCATATGGACTTTCTCGAGCGCGCGGTCATCCTCTTGTTGATGCTCTCTGTATGGATGCGTCCAAAAAGACTCCGTCGGGACAAGCGATAGGGTACTGACCTCACTTTCTCCAGAACAGCATGTTCCGCCAATGTGTCTTTGTCAAGGACAGTGTCATCGACGAGTTCAGCTAAGGTCTGGTCTTGGTTGTCATCGCTCTCTTCGGCATCGTCATCGTTCCTGCGATGGCCCCCAAAGCCCAGCATTGCGTCTTCATCAGACTCTTCTGCCTCCCCTTCGATAAATTCGGATGGCCCCAGTTTCCGATGTCCCTTAAGCGTGGGAGAGCGAGGCCGTCGCCGCAGCAGATCAAACGCGTTCACCATCCTTGGCCTCTGGGGACTTGGCGAAGGGCTCGAACGACGCGAATGTGGTAATTCACGCCTCTTCATGAGACGCGTACTCGGGTGCTCGGCCAGGATCTCAAACTCATCCGAATCCAGCCCATCACGCGAACGGCTGAGAGTCGAAAGAGTTGTCTCACCGAGGACGGCTCGGAAAGGTGCTGCGAGCTGGCTCGGTGATGGCAACTGGTGAGTCTGTGGGATACTGGATTTCGGCTTTGTCTGAGTGAGGAAGCTGCGATGACAGTTGTTGTGAGCGCGACATAGGTCAGAAAATGATAATCATACCCGTTCTCGTCTACGTATAGCTTGGGTTCAGGCTCGAGGTTCTGGTTGGATGCCTCTGCCAGATATTCTTGCTCCTTGTCGAAGATACTGTCGGCCTTGCGTCGGAGGCCCTCATTGACTTCAAGCGCGGGCTGCAGCTGAACGTCGAGAGTCAATGAAGGACCGGCAGTGGGCATGGGCTCCCCCAAACGGTCAATGCTAGCCTATTTGTGCGCTGTCAGCGCGTTCGTTAACATACGTAGACAAAACTTACCGTCCCGATAAAGAATTGTGACAAGCCGCCGCCCTTCATATTGCTGGATGACTGAGAACCTCTTCTCAATGAACCCGCCTCAAATAGCTTACTAAACCCAGATTGCGACTCATCAACGACATCATATTCAGCGGGGCTCCGTGCGTCCACGGAGAAAAGGAGTTGTCGTGCGGGTGGACGTGAAGGCGTAAACAAAAATGGATCTTCGGGATCATCCTCCGTAAGGAGTTCCTTCAGTGGAAGACGACAGTCCCCAAGCTCCGCGCTGTCCGGCCCCCACAAATCGACGTCGCCAAGTATGGACCCGGGAATACGACCGACATGCGGTCGCACGGAAGACGGTTGTATGACTATAGACGTATTTTCCTTGTCCTCCCCTCTGTCGAACATCAAGCGCTCGTCGTTCTCCTTGTCAGTGCCGTCTTCTGTCCGGTCTTCTAATGATGACAGGGACCCGCGGTGGTTCAGTGCGAACTGTTGTCGTTGCGGCGACAGTAGTCCAACCAAGGGGCTGCCGTGGGCCAACCGTCCACCTATTCGGCTGGACTGGCCATGATCTTCGACGTCTTCGTCGTCGGATACTAGGGTTGCCAATGGGCGTCCACGCCGAAAACGTGGTGCATGAAGAGGCAGCTTGGGCGATGAGTCTTCGTCGGAATCTACACCCCACTCAGACATCGTCATGGGAGCATGGTTCTCATCTTCCGCATCTGCTCCATCGGTCGATTCATCGTCCGGATGATACTCGCCATCCGACTCCGCACCACCACTTTCGTCGTCCGCTTGGACACCGTCCGCATCTCCCTCTTCCCGCGGTGCCTCAGAGCAGGCTTTCGAAATAATTGCGCGCATTTTGGCATTGGTGTCCACGCCTTCCTCGTCACTTTCCGGTCTGCCCTTTAGCCTTCCTCCCCTGCGCACCCATTCTTCCTCCTTCGCCCGCTGCAATGCCTCCGCCTGTTTGATGGCATTCTGTAGCAGAAACTTGCTTACGTCGGTGTGGCTCATGCTAATAGTCCCATGGTCCCTGGTGTCCGCAGGCCTCGTGAAAACGGAAACCGCCGCGAATTCCAACATTGCTGTCCCATTGGTAGACTGCTTCATGACCCGTTTATGGGGAGTAGTTTTCGAGCTTCGCAGCGCGAGAGTGAGCTGTTTCTTCCTGCCGACCGAAGGTTTGTGCGCGCTGAACACCCTCCTACCCTTGGCCTCTTCTTCGATGACGACTTTCATATCATCCTGCACCACTTCGAGATCACTGTCGTCTCCTTCGTCTGGTCGCGCTCTCTTCTTCTGTAGCTCTACCAAGCGCAACTTCTCCTGCTGGAGTCGCTTCCGCTGTTCTTCCTTGGTCCGTTTCGCGTGGTCTGCTTGAAGAAGGCTACCCACGTCTGGCATCTCCTCATCGCTGCCAGACTGATCTGCAACTGTCTGAACCGCACCAGGAGACTGAGGTCCGAGGAGGCTCAAGTAGGTGAAGGTTTCTCTAGACTGTCTTGAAGGGGATGGGGCAGGGGTCTCTGGAGGATAAGTGCCAGCTGGAGTAGGCGCATCATGAGCATCATCTGTCGGCGCTACGACTCCAACTGAAGGTGATGACGAGAATGCTTGAATGGGGTCTGAAGGCGAGCTCGGCGGGGCGTTGTATCTGAGTCTGTATAATGTCCAAGTCGGTGACGTTGACTGGAGCCCCGAGAGCAGGATCACTTACTTGAGCTTGCCCAAGAACTCCATCATGCCGAACTTCTTATTTTCGACACGTGGAAGAGATACTGGACGATCGGCAACGATACGGGCAGTCGTCTTCTGGGTCTCTTCCCGCTCCTTTTTCGTCGGTCGCTATTTGAAGACGAAATATCAGAACGCCATAGCTCATCTAATTGCAGCTACAAGGCAGACAAACCTTTAAACGTTTCTGCTTCTGTTTACCTTTACCCTTCTGTTTGACACTGCGGGTCTCATTGTCAGAGGCATTAAGCTCTTCGTCCGACGCAAACAGCTCCACCGCTCTCTCTTTCCCTTTACGGCCACCGCTTGCTAAAGGTGCTCCCAACGATGTCGGCGGCGTTGGTGACGAACGGGAAGGTGGTGTAGTGATGTTATATTGATGTGCAGAAGAATGGGGAGTAGATGGGTGATCGGCTTCCGCGTCTACATCGGAGTCAGAATCGCGTACGACTGCCAATTTACGTGTATGTGGCCGAGGCGGAACCACACGTCGGTGCGCAGGAGACCATATGGGAGATCTTCCGTCGTTGGCAGGCTGCGAAGAACTCGTCAAGATGGGGAGGGGACCATCGAATACGTCGTCGGTAGCTTCAAGAGTGGGGGTACCAGGGTGCGAAGACTTATTTGCCTCGTCGAGTTGAGCACTTTCAAGAGATGCCTTCCCATTAAGCGGATGCCCTGAATATTCATCGTCGATATCCTGCATACGTTGCCTCCATGAGAACTGGAAGTGGGGCGCCATCGATTCGCCATCGTCGCTCGCCTCTTCACGAGCGGCCACCAAGAGGTGGGGAGAAAGAGGCGCGTCAGATGTACTAGGAGGCGTAGAAATGTCGTCTTCACGCTCTAAAGATCCTTTGTGATCGAGGTTGACGCGTGTATGAGGGATGTTTGGAATAGTAATGGACGTGTCGGGGGCAACAACATGCGTACGACGACCATAGGTGACTATCGCACGATGAACAATAGGAGACTCCTTCGAAGAGGGAGATGCGGCATTGGCCATGGTGGTTGTTGAGTGGGGAGAGATATCCCAAGGAGAAGATAGTTGAGTGTGAAGTCGAGAAAGAATACAACCGTTACTGAGTGCCATAAGTGACTCGTCACATGTGTGATATATTCTTGTGACACACGCGTTTATGGGAGACGCGAGAGTTTTTAAGGATTTAACCATCAAAAATCACTTCAGCCGGGTGCACAGGGTCTTTGCTTCCCAATATGGGCATAACTGCATAGTTCACCTAGCCACCGCCACATAGGCTCACTTGCAATCATCACCAGTGATTCACCACGCGCACATCCTTTCCAAAATTTCTCAAGATGAGGTGAGTGGGTGATCGTCACAGCCCGTAATTCGTCTACTTGTCATTAATCCTTCCGTGTTTCTAGTCACCGTAAGGTGTGTACGATTCGTCCCAGAATTATCGCCTGCGTATCCTCATCTCCAGGAACCCTTTAGTATGAGGCGCCGCGCCATGGCTCCCTAGGTTTCCTGCCTCGCAAGCGAGCTGCTCGCCATCGCGGCAAGGTTAAGGCGTTCCCCAAGGTATGTCGAATGTTTTGCTATTTTTTGCGTAACTTGATTATGCCATCAGGACGATCCTAAAGTACCAGTGCACTTGACTGCCATGATGGGTTACAAGGCTGGTATGACCCATATTGTCCGCGATCTCGACCGTCCTGGATCCAGTGCGTGTCTCCCACATCGTGTGTGCAAGGTGCAGGATTTGACATATTTGTTTAGAGATGCACAAGAGGGAGGTCGTCGAGGCGGTCACGGTCATCGAGACACCACCAATGGTTGTTGTTGGTGTTGTTGGCTATGTTGAGACTCCCCGTGGTCTTCGCACCCTCACTACTGTCTGGGCGTCTCATCTTTCGGACGAGCTCAAGCGTCGCTTCTACAAGAACTGGTACCGCTCGAAGAAGAAGGCGTTCACCCGCTACGCGAAGAAGCATGCTGAGGACGGTGGCAAGTCCATTGCGCGCGAACTCGAGCGTATCCGCAAGTACTGCACGGTGGTTCGCGTTCTTGCACATACGCAGATCCGTAAAACCGGTCTCAGCCAGAAGAAGGCTCACCTCATGGAGATTCAGGTCAACGGTGGTTCCGTTGCTGACAAGGTCGAGTTCGCTCAGGGCTTGTTCGAGAAGCCGGTCGACGTCAGCACAGTCTTCGAGCAGGATCAGGTCGTCGACATCATTGCTGTCACGAAGGGTCATGGTTTCGAGGGTGTCACTCACCGATGGGGCACGAAGAAGCTGCCGAGAAAGACCCACAAAGGTCTTCGCAAGGTCGCCTGTATCGGTGCCTGGCATCCTTCGAAAGTCATGTTCTCAGTTGCTCGTGCGGGTCAAAGTAGGTACTCCTGTTGTTTGAGCTGTTGGTTTCTCTGAACAGTGTCTAGATGGATACCACCACCGTACCGAACTCAACAAGAAGATCTACCGCATTGGTCTTGGCTCTGACGATGCGAATGCGTCGACGGAGTCCGACATCACCAAGAAGACAATCACGCCAATGGGTGGCTTCCCTCACTATGGTGTTGTGAAGAACGACTATCTCATGCTGAAGGGTTCCATCCCTGGAACCAAGAAGCGTGTCATCACCATCCGCAAGTCGCTCATGGTACACACATCTCGCCGCGACCTCGAGAAAGTCCAGCTAAAATTCATCGACACCTCCTCGAAGTTTGGTGTAAGTAATACCCCATCTTGTCTTACATTTAGATTACTCACGGCAATGCACAGCACGGGGCATTCCAAACGTTCGAGGAGAAGGCGGGATTTTTGGGCACACTCAAGGCGCGGGCGTGAGGTTTCCCTTTGCTATGTACCTTACGATTACACATTGTGTTTTTCTACATGATCATGCTGTGCTTCACACTGCGGATGCCATGATTGCCTCCGATGACAGTAAGGATGTAGACGCGAAGGCAGCCAATCCAGTGTGTGATGAGAGCGGCCGACGGAAGCGAGCACGTGCCAGATCTGACGTGGATCCGCCGGGGTAAATTGCTTGCGACTTGCTCTCCACGACCACGAACGACAGCATCCTCGACAACGTGCCGCCTTTACCCTCGTTCTTCCAGGAGGACTTTAGTGGTCGTCGTGCTCGTGGCGTCGCGGTATGCCTCGCCGCTCACACCTCTTTGAGCAATTCACTCACTGTATTCGTGCTCAGGATGACTGCATAGTCCATTGATGCTGAGAGTGTCCTCTCTGGGCCTCAAACGGTATCATGACGCGTCTCCTTCTTTGCTACTGCAGTATTGCAGATCAGTGCATAAGCTGGCCAGCCATGAGATGTCCGAACGCAGTATTGGCCGGTACGACGTACCACAAGAAGAGAAGGCGAGCAGCCAGCGTCTCAGTACTATGCCTACCAAAGCCAATGCCAGTGAATCCACCGGTGCTGAAATGTCAGTTCCCACCGGATCGCCTATACACAGACGTCTTGCTGTCGTTGTCATCCCCCCTCTACGTATCCAGCGGCACAAGAAGACGCCCATTACACCAATCACGCAGAAGACAGTGGACTGCCAGAATAGTCAGCTCGCACCTCACGTTTCGCACTTCGCAGTCATGCGTAAGTCGATAACAAACCTTGGAGATCGCGAGGTCTCCCCACCGATCCAACATGAGGACGTTTCCCTTGCAATCCAGTCAGACGCGGATGCAAGTTCCCTTGTTAAGGGCCATGAGTCTCTAAACCGCGCAGATCTAGAGAATATCATGGCCACCACTGCTGCTGCTGAAGAAGCATGGGATGCGTACCAAGCCCTCATGGCTCTTCCTCGTCGCGACAATTTGCTCCCCATTCCATACGCACACCTGCATCGTCTGACGCGTCTCCTCGCGTCAACTCGTCCTCGGACACGAGCGCTACTTCTGCGCCTTCTGTCTGTCCTCTCGACTCTTCACGTGACTGGAGGTTGTGTGCGTGTGTGGCAATGGAACGCGCTGATAGATTGTGCGGGCAAGGGTTGGCGGAAGACGCGGCTGGAGGACTTCAAGGCTGCTCTGGACGTTTACGAAGACATGATTTCCGGTAGGCGCCCTGGTGCTGCTTTTTCTCGCAGTGAAGCCACTCTTGCGATGGAGCGAGAGGTTTTTGACGATGCGCACCGTGAGGAGGTTCGCCCTGATATCATCACCTTCACGACGCTGATGAACATTGCGGGGCGCACGCTGCAAGAGAACGCGTTACGGCGCGCTTCGTCCATGCTCGAAGCATCCGGACTGGCACCAAACCGGATCACCCATCTTGCACTCATTAGATACTACACGCGCAAAAATCAGCTCTCCGGTGTTCGAACTACACTTTCGCGGATGAGGGATGAAGGATTCGAGCTTGGTATCGATGGCCTTAATGCGTGTATCTGGGCGTACGCACGAAATGGCCGCTTGGACGTTTCCTCCGCGGTCTACCGCATCCTGCTACATCGCGTCGCACCGGAAGATGATCTAGGACAGGACGACATCGATACCGCTGTTAAATACCTGTATACCACAGAAGCTCTCTCTATCCCAGAGGGAATTCTCCCGGACGCGACCACCTACTATACCCTCATCCAGTGCTACTCGTATCACGGTGATCTCGTTCGCAGCCTCCAGGTATTCATGGACATGGTCTCACTGTCCACGCGATCTTCCCTGACTGACGGCACCGAAGAAACGGACCTGTCTTCCCCTACTCTTCCGGCATTTCGAGCCATTTTCCTCGGTTTCGCGCGCCATGGAACCCCTTCACCAAACACGAAAGGAGCTGAACTCTTGTCAAGTCGATTGAAGTCTTCCATGTGGACGTCGGACAATCTCCACGCACTTTTCCAAAGTTTTCTGAAGCTCCCGCACAATGTCCAGCCAAGTGAGAGGACGATCTTTTGGGTGCTCATGGCGTTTGCCACTACGAGCGGTCATGATGCAAGAAAATTGCGCAAGGTCTGGGAACAATTGGAGGAACGGTTTGGAGGTGGCTGGGGCGGTAGACTGGAGCGCTTCAGGCAGCGGATCTACGAGAACCAGAAAAGTAGTGTATAATACACGCGCGTTTATTACGGAGCGTTACAGAGCACAACAGGTATTAAGGAGTACAACGAAAGTCGTCTCGATTCGTCATGGTATACTCTACATCTTACCGCCGCACGCAGTCCTCCACTGGACATACTGTTCCCAACTAACGGTGCACTTCCGACTCTGGTACCTGCGCAACTTGATGCTGCGGCGCAAGTCCTCGGTGACGGGGCCATTCCAGCCTGCCTTATGGATAGCGCTGTCGACGGTCTCGATCTTGTCCCATCCCTGCTCTGGGGCTATCTGCGGAAGGTACGTTGCATGGAAAGTGTGTTTCAAGCTGTTGCGAGTGGGCAGTGAAGGAGATGACGACAGCGGAGAAGGCGTGGACGAAGAAGACGGGGATGATACAAGCAATGAAGGGTGCGGAAACGTGATGTAGATTCCGTGCACTCCAATAGTCCAATCGAGATAGGAAGTGGCATCCTCAAAATCGGTCAGGAGAGAGATGCTGATAAAACGGCGAGTAAAGGCGGGCAGCTCGTGAAGACGAATATAAGCCATACCCGCACTCGAGGCTTTCAAGCTCCCGCTCTTCGATCTTTCTGAACCTTGAATCCTGGAACGCACTGATGAGTGCATACTCCGCCAGACCTGCCCGGAGAGGTAACGGCTCAAAATTTCCGATGCAACCTCTTAGTCTCGGAGCTCGTCCTGGACGAGACGAGCGGGTATTCCACGTCACAAAAAGTGGGCTATATATGATGAGAACTTTAATCGGAAGATATGCGCCCCACCACTCACTATTTCTCGTCAGGGAAATTAGGAGATACGGGCTTCTTGGAGGTGAGTGCGCAGAACAATGCATCGAAACTGTGAAAGCAGTGCTGTTGAGTGCACACACTTCCATCATCCTCTCCTGCGTTTCTGGCAGGATTTATTGGAAGGAGAGACATTGAGATGACGGAGGAGAGGATGGTGAAGCTCGGTTGCCCGGAGGATGAACTTGTCCGACTCAAGCGCTCCGCCGGCGTATGTCTTTCCATTTTGGGGAAGCTGTGGCAGTACTCTCGAGCCTCGGGGAAACAAGATGTGCATCCACAGAACTGTACACCTTAGCATGGCCATATTGGAACCTATTAAGCGTACGGGTGCATGACTGTCGACATGGTATATGTGTAAGGTATCGATATGATGCGTTAAGTAAGAAGAAGCAGTTCAGGAAGAAGAGGAAAGACATAAGATATGGATATCCTACTACTAATAATCAGCGCTGAAAGTGAGTTCCTGAACTCGGGAGTCCAGGGCAATGCAGGTCATGGTCATGAGACGTCGTAAGGTCGCGCAGGGAGAAGAGCTAGAGTCCATGAAAGGAATGACGCACGAGACATGGACTCCGTCTTCGCGAAACTGCGAAAACATGTCAAGTGCGAAGGAAGCGAGGCGACCAGCGCATCATGCTTGACAACAGCCCCAAGACGATCCTGCTGCTGCTTGTGCCTTTTCTCGAGCTTCTTCTTCATCCGCTTGAGCTGCCCATGTAGGCGTAGAAGCTGTCGAAAGAAAGATACTGTCCCTTTTCTTCAGCTCATTCTCGCGTTCAATACTATCCTTCCTCGCGATGATAGTCGTAATCAAAGTATCGAACAGATATTGAATACCTATCCCGAGCATGAGTCAAATGTGACCGAAGTCACAGATCGAATAGACTAACCAAGATCATCCTTGGCTGAAACTTCGAAGAGCTCCATGCCCTTGTGTAATCCCCATTCCTGGTTATCTGTATCATCTGCGTCCTCGTCGCCGTCCAAGCTGGTGGTGCTGGCGCCAGAAATTTCATTCCAGGCACGGTGTCCAAATGGTGAGCCATAAGGTGATTGTACTTGACGTGTAGCAGCACGAGTTGCGGCAGTGGTAGAATTTGCTCTTGGAAGAAGGAGGCTTCCGCTCTTAGCTCGTGGTCGAGTTGGGGCGGAAGTATTCGAGCGCTTCAGCACAGAAGCGTGGGAGTCGACATAGGACACGGTTTCGTGAGACGCAGACAAAGGTGGTTCCGGCGCGGAAGTTGTTACAGGCGCAGAACGAATACTAGGAAAGGACGTGAATCGAGGGCGGATATAAGAAAACGTTGATGTCGGCGGCGGCGGCGGGGTTGGTGCTCTTGGCGGTGGGAACCAAGTGTGCAGAGACAGGCGCGCGAGATCACTGGTAACTTGTCGATAGCGATGCAGGTCGGCCTTCGAGCCCACGATATAAATGATGAGGTCAGGAGAACAGTTCTTCTTCAGCTCTGTCGGTAAAGAGAGGTGGCAAGATTAAGCAGAAGTTTACAACCGCGAGAAAATTATCTCACCTTCTAACCAACCACGAATGTCATCAAAGCTAGATGCATTTGTTATATCGTACAACAGCAAAGCGGCATTCGCTCCACGGTAATACATCGGAGCCTTCGCAATGAACGCTAACAGTTTATACCACAACGCGGAATAGACGACGTGCACTCACCATGCTACGAAACCTTTCTTGACCTGCCGTGTCCCATAGTTGCAGTCTAACTTTGATACCGTCTACATATACCTTCTTCGTGACAAAAAATGCACCAGTGGTGGAGGTCGTATTCTTGGGATCGAACTTGTTGTGGGTGTATCTGTGTAACAAACTAGTCTTCCCTACACCTGGGCATTTGTGAGAAATCATTAGCCTCTGCCATGGGGTGGAGCGTTCGGCTCCCCAGTCAACCGACCTGTGTTTCCCATAATTACAATCTTGGCATCAACACCCTGGTCAAATCTGGACTTTCTGTACGGGTCCAAGCGCGAATAATCCGCCATTATTCTAGCGTAGCCTGGCCTCAAGATGTGCAGGGTGTCGCCTTAGCGGAGGGTCGTCAAGAGGAGAGAAAGCACATAGCGAAGAAGTGCCATAATAGGTGCTCGGATCGGAACCGCCACGCGAGATCACGTGAGTCGCGTTGCTATCACCGTGAATATTGTGCCAACTTGGGTTCAGCAAGACTTGCGTCCGATCAAGATGGTGTGCAGGAGCAGGCACAACATGACGAACTCAACAGATGGACCAGAGCATGGTTGCACGTGCATACATTTTGCGAATGGGAAATAATAGAAGACATGTCTCAAATCACTCTCGCCTACTCCTGCGCCTGCACTGGGAACTCGAACACGACATCCTTGCCTGTCAGACGGCGGTATACCGACGAGAAGGAGTCAAGCTTGTACTCAAGCGACGTGGCATCCTTTGAGTCGAGGAAGCTATTGATAACGTGTGAGTTCGCCTCGGCGAGAGGTGCCAACGACTACAAAACGTACACTTTCAGAAGTTTTGATCCATCCACAGCAACACGCGTCCTCTTGCCAACAATCTCGGTAGGGAAGACCAGATCCTCAAGAATCTTCTCGTGGACGTTGGTGAGCGTGCGGCTGCGAGGCCTCTTCTGCTTAACCCGAGAGGTGCGGGTTGGCTTGCGCAACATCCGACGCTGAGCAACGAACACGACATGGCGATCTGAGAACTTCTTCTCTAGCTCCCTGGTCAATCTATGGGCACGATCTCAATAATTGCAGGTAGCATGCCATGGGAGAAACATATACCTTTGCTGGACCTTGTGGAATGCCTTCAGCTGTGGCACAGGTACGAAAATGACGATGGCCTTCTTGCCACCGCGAACATCGACTTCACGGGCTGCCGAAATCTGCAAAGGTCGAAGTTCCGTCTTGAGCTCGGGGACACCATTCTCCAAATCGATCAGAGCCTGCGCGACACTGATCTCGGTTTCATCTGGGGCGGTCGTAGGCGCGTTAGCTGTGCGGAGGATCTTGTGCTGAACGGACATCTTGATGGTTATGGGTCCTGGACGCATGAAGCCCAGTATCAGCATCCGAACTCGACAGCATCCATCCATCACCGCTTATGCGTTTCCTCTTCCAAACAACCACACCTCATCCATCCATCTATCTTGTAGGCCATTCCACATTTCATAGAAAAATGCACAAGGTACTCACCGAGCCTACCACCGTCGTCGATTTTGCTAGTTGTGAAATCTCGCGGTGTCGCTATCCGGTGAGCAGGTGCATGCACGTGAGGGGCCCCCGGAAACCCTAACTTTGAGATCTTGAGATCTCTCTGAGTGGACATCCAACTTAGGCAAGTGTGCAAGTTGCAAGCATCCAAGGAGTAGTAACTGGTATCTCGCTCGGTTCACCGGTCATACATGCTTTTCCTGCGCACACAGGGATATATGCGTGACATGCAGAAACTACAGCAGTCTGATGTTCGTCAGGTGTTACTTGTATGATTGTGCCTGCACACTCCTACTATGACTAGGTAATGTCTCTTTGAGCCTTGAAGTCTTCAACCCATTTCCTTTCCACTTCACCTTTCGGTAATACCACAAATGTCAAGCATCCATTCTTGATTTCCAGGCCATCAGGGAGTTCTCCATCTTTCCCTCGAGCAGCATGGCACACATCTCTGAGTGACATCCTTCTGCCTACCTTCAATAGACGCTTCCGATGGGTCATGGCGTAAATAACGAGCTGCCCATCAACGTATTCGTGTTTCGTGTCCCATTCTGGCGGAGGTGCTTGCGGTGGGAACATGACGGCAAGGTGAGCTGAGAACGGCGTATCCTCCACGAAGTGAGAAACGACGTCGGAGGTCGCATATTGCGGATAAAGGAAAAATACGGGCATGATCAAGGTGCTTTGTGTGGGGTCCTCAGGATCAAAGCGGGGTAGATATGGACTTTCTGAGTCCGTCTCTGGTTGCGATATCGTGACGAAGTTGCGTTCCTGGCACACAACATACCTGTGGCACCTTAGTATCACCGACAGTGGTTGACGACTCACCTTGAATGCAGTACGTAAGCGTCTTTTCTCCACCCCCTTTCTTCGTATCCTCTCCTGCTTCTCCTTCTCCTTCTTTTCCTGTAATGCTTTCTGCTGCGCGGTCTTCTCGCGCACGGCTTGAACACTCTCGTTATTCTGGTCGAATCGCAGACATCGGTAACAGCAATCAAGTGCCTCTTCGAACCGTTCCAAGGCCAGGAGTGCCACGGAAGAGCGATAATGCGCTTTTGATGATTGAGGGTTCAGTGTTATAGCCTCGGAGCAATCTTTCAGGACCAAGCCATAATTCTCTACAATCCATGAATGTCAAAGCTGTTGTCACAAAATAGAGCGCGTTATCCCACTGAGTTCTAGGTTACAAGCAGCTCTATTACACAACAGAGCCTCCATAAGTGTTTTATTGGATGGGGCAGCATCCACACCCTGAGTGTAGAACTGGAGTGCTTCGCGATACCGCTTGCCTTTAAAGTAGTCGTTTCCTTGTTCTTTGAAATTTTGTGCAACCTCTGGAAATGAATAGTTCATGTGTGCCGCTAGACATTGACGATTTTACAGACTTACCGTCTGGTGTACCTTCGAACGCAAGACTTTGCAAAGCTCCGATCACAGGATCGTCCGCGGCATCCTCGGGTAGTGACTTCATGAACAAGGGAATGGAATCAAATGAAGCGAGCTTGTCATCGTCCTGAACATGCTGAGGAAGAGGCAAGGGATTGTTCGATGCCATGACGGACGAGAAGAAGAGATCTGGGATGGACGAATTGACCAATCGAAATCGGGCTAACGATTTTTGCTCACGACCCTTGCACTCCGGACCGATCGGAGCCCGACTATATTCAGTTCGTATTTCCGACCAGTACTAGATCTGAGGAGGTGCACTTCGAAGCTGACGCAAATGCAGGTCCGAGGTCTTGCTGCAGCTCTCAATTCGAGCGGGAAGTACAAAATTAAGGTGATTATCCAAATCAATTACCTCAGTCTAGTGTCATCGCAATTGCGAACAGAATCCGGAATATGCTGTTGACTACTTGGTCATCGGTGGAGGTGAATAGTAGTATTCAATGTGTGCAGTGCATATCTCACTTCACTGCACTCCCTAGGTGTCGTCGGTTTGGCCGTTGCTCGAAACCTTACGCGACGTTTTCCATCCAAGTCGACTTTCCTAGTGGAGAGGCACAGCACTGCAGGGGAAGAATCCAGGTAAATGTCATCATATGAAGTGCATGGTCATTACTTAAGCATAAGGCAGCTCTCGAAATTCGGAGGTGATCCATGCAGGTACATACCCCGCAGCCTTGTTCTAGACATACAACTTATACGCCATCACCCAGGCCTCTATTATCCGCCAGACTCACTGAAGACGCGGCTTTGTCTTCGTGGAAGACGTCTGATGTACGAATACTGCCATGAGCACAGTATTCCACACAAGAAGATGGGGAAATTGGTCGTTGCGCGCGATAATCAGCGGTCTTACATCCAGAACCTCCACACCAAAGCTGGGAAATTAGCCTGGCCTCCACATTCGCCTGCGGATCACGAAGAGACTGTGTTGCCTACCAAGCTTATCAGTGGCGATGAGGCGCGACAGCTCGAGTCAGACCTGTCCGAGGATATCACAGCCGCACTTTGGAGCCCTGAAACCGGTATCGTGGATTCGCACGCACTGATGGAGAATCTGGAGAATGACATTGCAGACGCTGAGGGCGGAGAGCTCGTTTACCGAACGAGTGTAGTTCGAGTGGATCCTTACAGCGAAGGATGGCTCGTGCAGATGGTCACTGGCGATGGCGAAGGAGACGCGATAGTAGCGAGGACATTGATTAATTGCTCTGGCCTCTCCGCGCATCTGGTTCTCAATGCATTGCTACCTGCTGAATCACGCATCCCCATGTATTACGGACGAGGCTCATATGCGTCCTACCGCGGCCCAGGCGTCGAGCACGTATCTCACCTCATTTATCCATGTCCTGACGCCACCAGCCATGCCTTCCAGTCGCTGGGCACGCACTTAACGCTCGACATGGAGGGAAAGATCAGATTCGGGCCAGACCTCGATTGGCTCAATCCAAACGAGCATGCCACTGGCGAGTCCGCGGATCCAGATTTTTGGCTGAAGCTATTGATTCCGAGTGATTCGAAGCTGAAGTTGATGTACCAGGCCGTGCAGGAATACCTGCCCCACGTTGGTTTCAATGGATTCCAGCCGGATTATTGCGGGGTCAGACCCAAGCTCGTTCTCCCGCACGGAGGCTTCCAAGACTTTGTGTTCCGCAGGGACTATCCGGAGGCATTCGCAGGCGTGCAGAAGAATAGTCAGGTGGCTAAATGGCCGATGATCAGCTTGTTGGGCATTGAGAGCCCAGGATTAACTTCGAGCCTCGCGATTGCAGAGCTGGTTGTAGAGGACATCTTGTGCAACAAAGAGGGTCAGGCAGAACGAACACAGTAATTTCTCTGTAAGTACAGTGCACGAAGATTTCATGACGATGGTCCTCCTCGGGCAGCTACTTTGGGCTCCCAAGCCTCATACTTCGGGCGAGTTGTGTTGTATGACCTGTATGCTCCTCTGGTTCCGGTCAAGTTCTCAACCCAACGCTGTATAATCGTACAGCATTATATATGTTGGTATGGTCAATGAGACGAAACGAACGACGTACCCCCTTCCACGGAGGCGAAAGGTTCTGCATGACCCGATCCTCTAGAGGCGGCTCCTTGCGGATATGAGAAAGCCAAGCGTGCCATTCAGCAGGTACTTGCGTTGCGTTGTAATAGTGCTATTAAAGCCCAGGAACGGTCATCAGCTGCGTAGCGTCAGACCAATTCTGAGACGGACCTGAGCGTAGTCAACCCATCGGTGACGCCCTAATGTTCCGGCATTCGCATTCGTCATAATATACCCAAAGGTTCAGCGTCGCACCTGGTAATTCCTCCGTTGGGTTCAAGTTCTCGAAATAGCGGTTGCCGAACCTTCACGAGTATCAGCACGATAACTGGAGCAGTGGTGAGTGCGCATACTGGTCCTTGCCCATAAATTTGCCAGATTTTGCGTCGCCGATGTACTGCAATTGACGCCACCATTCTTTGATGCCAACGCGATATGCAGACCGTAGGGTCCGTAGGAACGAAACCATGGTGTTCTCGTCTCTCGGAGGATTCGTCGTGGAAAGGTGGAAATGGGGAGATTTGATTACATAATTATCACATGATACTAAAGCACGTGATGCTGAGTTCAGCCTGAGCAGTCAAGTCACTCAGGCCCTGTTCGGGATCCCGATAATCCGGCCGCTGTAGAATCCTCTGCCCGCCAAAAGTTAAATGGACTCCAGATTGCCCAATATGGCTACAGATAAGATGAGATCCCATGTTGCCGGGGATTTGCCGCTCACGTGTTAAAGTCGAGACTGGTCACGACAGACCGAGACTGATGTGGAATTAGCCAATCGGTTGCTCGGCAAATCCCAATGAAGATGTCGGTCAGGGCTCGGTTGAGGCTCGGGCACCTAAGCTAGGGTTAGAGGCTCTGGGCCAACGGTCTTTTCATCACATGACAGGTGTGCGATAATCTCTGCACTGTTTTGGGACATTGCTAGAGCGGCTCTATAATGATTATCGGGATCCCGAACAGGGCCTCAGGTTTGTGCTTTAGTGGATGCCTTCCCGTAGGATTTAGAGCATTTCTAAATCATAAAGCGAACTACAAAATGCCCCACTGTCGGAACAGCAAGATTTGCGAGACCGTAACTGTTGGAAAGTAGCGCCCAAATTTCTGGAGCTCCAGAAATTGGGGAGCACCCAAGGGCAGACAAGCCGAGGGCATGATTACAAAGAAAGACAAAGAAGGAAATTTGCTTATATAAAGTGGAGCGTCTAGAACTGTATATATACAGAAATCTATTTTAGGACACATAATCATGTGCCCCGATGCATCTTGACCCACCATCACTACCTTCCTATTTGGGAACTAAGGCGCGATTTCTAACAGGTTATGAGCCCCGGCTCTAGCCAATAAATACTCGGATAATAACAGCCCCTATTGTGGCTATAAAAATTGTTACCCCCTTACTAGTACGAGAACAAATAATGTCGACCAGCACTAATAATACGAGCAATAGCAATGCTTACCGGATCCCGCTCCTGAAGGAAGACAATTGGCTCCCGTGGAAGTGCCGCGTCGAGGCCATCCTTAATGAAAAGAGTCTCCAGGAGTATGTGACCGGAAAGACACCGAAGCCGCAGCCGAGTAATGACCTGGCCAATAGGGCAGCGAGAGAGGCGGAGATTAGCGCCTGGGGAGAGAAGGACCTCAAGGCCCAGAACGTAATTGTGCTATCGCTGGGAGATTCCCAGATGGTGCACATCGCTGGAGCCGAGACGGCACGGGCCATGTGGGAGCCGCTTCGCACAGTCAAGGAACAGCGTGGACAGCATGGAATTCTCGCGCTGTGCCGGCGTTTTTACCGGATGCAAGCCAAGGAAGAAGATAATATCTCCAGTCACATTACACAGCTACGACAGATCCAGGAACAACTCCACCTAATGGGGAAGGTTGTTTCTGACGAGGATTTCTGGCTCATTCTGGCTACCTCATTACCGGAGAGCTGGGACTCTTTCCTCAGCTCTTACTTTGGTGCCATGGGCGGCAATGTTGGCGCCGAAGGTGCTGACAACGTGCGCCCTCAGCTTACATCACAAGAATTGATTGCCATCATTCTTGATGAAAATAGGCGAAGGCACGAGCGTGGCGAGCGCGGTCAATCCTCGGACCAAGCCATGGTTGCCAAAGGAAAGAAGCGCCCCTTTGGGGAATACAAAAAATGTTCGATCTGCGGAAAGCCGGGACATCTTGGTAACGAGTGTCGGCACCGCGACAAGGTCAAATGTATGAATTGCGGAAAATTCGGGCATAAGGCCACAGATTGTTGGGCTAAAGGCGGCGGCAAAGCCGGACAGGGCTCGCCAATGAAACGGCAAAAGACGGAACGTGCTTACGAAGTGCACGAGGTCGAATTGAAAGAGGATGAGGCAAAAATAGCCTACGATAATGATAGTGACACTGTATCTCTCGGATCTGATGGCGAAATCGCTTCTTTCTATGAGTGGTTTGCTGACTCCGGGACAACTTCGCACATTACAAATCATCGTGAAGTCTTCGCGACCTATAAGGCGCTCAAAGATCACACAATCACGGGCATCGGACCGCAACCAACACAGGCATTAGGCCGCGGTACGGTCAATGTCGAAAGTGAAGTAGGAGACCGGAAAGTGAAATTCCGTCTCCACGGTGTACTGTATGCGCTGACAGCACCCAATAGCCTCCTCTCCATCACGCGTTTGGATGACGTGAGAGGAAGAGTACTTATGGGTAATAGTCGCGCAATACTAATAGATAAAAATAAACACACTCTTGCTATAGGCAAGAAAAATGGACGACTATATTCATTGAAATTGCGTCCAATAGTTCCGCAACCTGTGCGAACCTATACTGCTAAGGAATACGGCCCGCATACCTGGGAAGAGTGGCACAAGATCTATGGCCATATCGGGAAACCAGCACTTATGCGATTATATCGTGAAGGGCTTGTTGATGGCCTAGAAATCTCGCCAAGCCCAGATGAAATTAATTGCGAGGCGTGCATTCAAGCAAAGGCGACGCGGAAGCCATTTCCCAAAGAGATGGATGAATGCAGCAAGGTACCTGGAGAATTATCACACACAGATGTGTGGGGACCTGCGCAGACAGCTGCTCTACAAGGGTGGAAATATTTTATTACATTTACTGACGATTACAGTCGTCGAAGTACAGTACTATTTATGAGGCATAAAGATGAAGTAACTGAAAAGGTAAAGAATTATATTACCTATATCGAGCGCAAGTTTGGAAACAAACCCTTGCGACTCAGGCTCGACAACGGTCGAGAATACATGAACACCAAATTAATTAACTGGTGTCAAATGAAAGGGATCGAGATGGGTCCGACTGCGCCGTACTCACCATCCCAGAACGGAGTCTCTGAGAGATTGAATTGCACACTGCTTGGACTAGCGCGCGCGATGATCTATGTGAGAGATCTACCTTGTTATCTTTGGGCTGAAGCGATTGCTCACGCAGTCTATATTAAAAATAGATCGCCTACCCAGGCATTAAATGGGGCAACTCCCGAAGAAAAATGGAATGGGACGAAACCAAATATCTCATACCTGCAAGAATTTGGTTCCCCCGTATGGGTTCTCATGGAGGACGCAACACTATCAAAGCTAGCGCCCCGTGCCAACAAGTATATTTTTGTTGGATACATGGACGGACCCAAAGCCATCAAATATTATGATGCGCACATGCGCCAGATTAAAATCTCACGTAATTTCCAATTTTCTTCGAATTTCCCGGACCATTTGCCTGGCAACGCGCCTCACATGCCACAAGAGCAAATAGGATCCGATGTACCTATCCTCACAGCACAGAGTGAGGGGGAGCAAAATATATTTCCAGGCACTTTACCTAGCAATGCGTCAGACGTGCTGCATGCGGAAAGGAGACCCGAAGTCCCAAACCTCACAACGACCGCAGACGTGCGGCGCGAGGGGGAGTTAGAAACTTTCGCGCCACAGTTACTGTAACGGGTCGGTTCTGACGACTGTTACTCATTATGGACTGCTTACTACTTACATAAGCAAGTTGCTTTTTATCCTTTACACTCACCATCTAGCTGTACTTACTCAGTCTTAGCTTACTCTGGCTATATATTGAGTCCACTACAGCCGTGGTGAGCCTAAGGATCTAGGCTCTTTACACTTTTTTTTGTAGTCTCAGAACTACTGCTGAAGTTCTGCTATGACTGGATACTACTGGCTGGATGGGCAGGAGCACTCACTGTGCCCTGCACGTCATACCTACCTGGCAACACCTCTCAGGACCTCTGAAGTCACGGTCATCATCAGTGACATAGGCTGTGTTGCCAACATACTGCGAGGATGGGTTGAGGCGAACAACCTCACTCATTGGCTCACAATCGCCGACTGGCTGGTCGAGTGACATCACCACCTCGCCACCCTCCACGAGTGCTATGCTTGCGAAGACGGCCTTACCACCATCAAGCGTGCTCACCACCGCCTTGACGCCCTTGCAGAATGCCTGGGAGCTGCCGTCACCTGCGCAACTTTCGACGTGGCATGGACGCATCACCACATGACATGTGACCACGTCAAATGCGACGTCGCCACTCCTACCGCAGTACCCGCACTCCCTGCTTCCCCCTCCCTCGTGTCTGAAAAGCTCGCCAAGCCCGAGCACCCACGCCACATCAAGAGCGATGCGCCGCACCTGGACCGAAAAAACCGGCCCCAAAAATCGGTAGGGGAGAGTGTGGGGGTAAAAGAGGCCGAGGAGAGAAGAAGGGAGGAGAGGAGGCCAGAGAAGAAGGTGTGGGAATGGACGCGGAGCGACCGGGAGCAGGAGCGGATGCCATGCAAGCATGACGATGCACGAGGTACGCCCGCCCCGTCACCTCCCACAGCGCCGCCACCACGCACCTGTCTCACCGAGCACCCAACGACACCGACGGCCCTGACACGTTCACATGCGACACCACCGCATCGTGGTGCACGCACGCCCACAGCACCCGTGACACAGGACATGGACAACGTGCCTGCCACATCACCGGCACCAGGGGCGCGCGACCACAACAGCACGGCACTGATGCATGTGAGCACAGCACCGTAGTGCAGCTGCACGACCGCGCCCGCAGTGGCCGCAGCGCAGGACACGAACGATGCGCACACCACGTCACCAGTGCGAGGGGCGCAAGCCCGCGACAGCCTGACACCAATGCGCCTTGCTGTCCGGGCCACCGACCACCCAACAGCGCAGGTGGTGCCAAGCGCACCGATGCACCGTGGCTGCGCAACGGAGCCCACAGCGACCGCAGTGCAGGATGCGGACGTCGCGACTGACACACCACCGGTGCTGAGGACGCGCCACGCAGGTGCCGATGCATGAGCGCGCCCAGCGTCGCTGACGCACCGCACCGCGCCGACAGCGTCAGGGGCGCATACCCAGGACGACGCACCCACCACGCCGCCAACACCGAGGGCGTGCCAGGCCAGCGCCACGACCCGGGAGCGCACCGCGTCACCGACGCACCCTGTTACCGTGTTGCCGATGCACCACGCCGCATCACCGGTGCGAGGGGCACGCGTCCACGACAACGTGATCCCAGTGCATGTTCCGCTGGGGCGTACCACTTGTCCGAGGTTCGTCAAGCAAGTACTAAGTCGTTCGACGACTAAGTAAATGCAAGTCAAGAATCGAGAGTCAAGAAGATCACACAAGGACTAGTGATAATCCCGTGTATTGAGAGGTAAAGTAACCAGATCGAGACTGGGGTTCCAGTCGACGATTTCAGCCTTATATACTAATAGTACATGCTGAGTAATACATGCCAGTAATGGCTGAGTCAGTGAGTACCCTCACAGTGAGGGATGAGTCAGTACAGGTTCTAGACTATGGTGTCATGGTCTAGAGAGAGTCCAGATTGAGTCGAGAGATATCGAGACTCGAAGTCTCGGGTTAATGCGTAATCGTACAACGTAATCGAAAGAAAAAAGATAGGTACTCAACATACCGTTGTAACATAAGCCCCTTCCTATGCCGCCTTTGCCCTCAAAGGCATTCCTACATATCTCCTGCTTCCGACGGCATTACACTGTTCATCGGAAACCCTTCAGTATACAATGAACCCGTTCCATCGAAGTCAGAGAATCGCGGGTCCGTTTGAGGGTCAGGGTAAGAGAACGCTATCTCGCGCGCGTCGTAATTTGCGTAGAAGTCATGAGAGTGGGAACAACCTTCTATTGTGTGGCCAGGTGCTTGTTTTCCACAGTAGTAGCAACGCATCCTGTTGGATAGCAACGCAGGACATGCATTCGGGTCGTGGGATGTGAGGACAGATTGACAGATTACGCAAATGGAAAATGGGCAGGTATACTTCGGATGGGTATACTGTCTGCAGAACACGCACTGGGGATGTGGTCGTTGATACGCGATGTATGCTGGGATGGTTCGGTGTGGCCCGATGAGCGCTGTGGAGAAGGCGGGAGGAAACGGGGAGATGTTCCTTCCAGGCTCACTCTCTCCTGGATCTACGAGGGTCTGAGTCGATTGATCCGAGTGTTCAGACGTTTTGGTCTGCACTGCATTTTCCGTGGTCATCGGGGATAACCCTTCAGCATGATGGTTGGGATTGTCGCTAAAGTTCCACTCCGATACGTAATCTGAAGGGGGGTTTGGGCGTAGAGGCCGTGCGATGGAAATACCTTCGTGAGTCGCTGCTGGAGCGGAAGACGTCGAAGCGCCTTCAAACAAATCGAATGGGTTCGGGGTAGGAACTGTTATGGGGTCGAAGGCGAGATGTGATGGTCGTGGTGGAGGTACGGGGGGTGTTCCCTCTTGCAAGGTCTCTGGTGGCATGTCTGTTAAAAAGGTGAGGAGGAACGGCTGCGTGGCGTCTGCATCAAGCTCAATGAGTCGTTGGTACGAGTTCGTCTGGGCAAACATTAGGGCTAGCGTTTCCTCCTGTCGCTGGATTCTATCCCCCATGCTTAACGCTAACGCTTCCATCCTCTCCGTGTATCGTCGTGTTCCTGCTATTGCATGCTGCATGGAAATAATTTCCGATTTGGCAGCTTGTTGCGAATGGATGATCCTAAGCGCATACTGCGCGTGAGAGTCGTCCAACGTGGTTAGGGCTTGGAGATACAACTCCTCGTATTCTGCAAGTACACGGACCGCCCTTGACTCGTGGGGCTCACAATTCGTCCAGGGCATGTCGGGTAAGGATGGCGTGGTGGCTCTAGAACGTATAGGATTGATTGAGTCAACTATGCCAACGACGAAGTCTTCTAGGTCACCAATAGTTCCAATTCGTCGTGAGAATCGGAGATGGGCCCTAAGGTTATCTCGTATGTCGTGCACTGGCACTCTCCTAAAGTTCCTAGGGTGTGGCGAGGGAGTCGGAGAAGTTTCAGAAAAGTAGTTGTCGACAACAGACTGCGCTCCAGATGATGGCATAGTGGAGGTTCAGAAGTGGTGAAGGTCTATGCGGGCGATTGCTGAGATACGACGCAGGCATCGTCGCCTTTTGTATTCCCCTAGTAGTCCCTTGGCATTTGTCAGATTCGCTTCAGGTTCCCATGAGTTCTCGGCAGAAGCATATCCTTTCCACTTGACCAGGTATTGGGTCCAACCGTATCTTTGTCGGTGGTTTAGGATTGCTTCGACTTCGTATTCCTCGTGCTCTTCAATAAGGTCAGGCGGTGGTCTCGTATCATTTGGGCTGTGGATCTCCGTTTCTTTGTAAGGTGATAGAAGGCTGGCGTGGAATACGGGGTGGATTCTCCATCCTCGTGGTAGGGTCAGGCGGTAGTCCACGGGGCCTATTCGTTCTTCAATAATAAAGGGGCCTTCACGTTTCGGAGCCATCTTCCGTGTTGGGTACCCGATGTTCAGGTTCTTTGTATCGAGCCAGACCTTCTGACCCTTTGCGAAGTGTGGTGAGCCTTTTCTGATCCGTTCTGCCATATGCTGTCTTACTAGCTCGTGCATGGCTAGGGCCTCATCTCGAATCTTCTGGAGTTCAGATAACCGAGTTTCGACTGAGGGTACAATTTTCCTAGGGAGTACCGACAGGATTCCGCGTGGTTCGTATCCCATCATCATGCGGAATGACGACATCTTCCGCACTGAGTGTTCGCGTGTGTTATGGCAGAATTCGAGGTCCGGTAGTTGGTCTACCCATGACTCGGGGTTGTTACCGCAGTAGAGTCGGAGGTACACTTCTAGTTCTTGGTTAACGCGTTCCGTTTCTCCATCTGACTGGGGGTGGTAGGCTGTACTCATTGAGGACCTGATTCCTAGTATCCTGCATAGTTCTTGGAATACATGTGATGCGAATTGTGTTCCTCTATTGGAAATCAGTTTGTCTGAGAGTCCGAATCGGGAATAAACTTTTTCGTGGAAAAGTTTTGCCGTTTGATCCACCGTGACCGTCTTCAAGCAAGGGCAAAGAATTACCCCCTTCGTAAGGTCATGGTCTACCACGACCATGAGAGAGTCAAAACCACGTGATACTGGTAGGTCTGTGATAAAGTCGACTGATGAACAGGAAAATGGTAATGCGTTCAGGGTTGCTGGTATAGGCATTGGAAGAGATTTAGTGGGGTGCATATTGATCTTCATCTGTTGGCACCCTGCACATCCTTCCACATAGGCGCACACTGCAGAGTAAAGTCCTGGCCACCAGAAATCACGTCGGACGAGTTCAAGGGTTTTGTAAGAACCTGGGTGTCCCATGGCTGGTGTGTCATGGTACAACTTGATAATATCACGTCGGAGAGGTTGTACTGGGGGTACATATACGCGTCCTCGGTATTGGACAAGCCCGTCGGTGATTTTACAATCATCGAGGGCAGATTTCATTGGTGGTGGTCCTTTGTTCTGTAAGGCCTGAAGCACATCGTGAACAACTTGATCTTTAATCGAATGTGCACAAATGTCCTGGTATAGTTGTGTCGATATCGAGTGTACGAACAATACTTCTGGGAGAAGGATACGATCTTCATTATCATGATCCCGGTCGCCTTTTCCAAGCAACCGAGATAGGGTATCCGATTGTATCATTTGCGTTCCTGGAACGTGCACCAGTTGGAGTTCAAACTGTGATAAAAGGAGACTCCATCGTGCTTGGCGTCTATTTAGCTTCTGGGCCGTCCAGTAGTAGGTCAGGTTTTTGTGATCGCTGCGTATTACTATTGGATGAGGAGAGCCATCAAGGTAATGGCGCCATTCTTTGAGGGCACGAACGATTCCTAATAGTTCTCTGTCATAGATCTCGTAGTTCCGTTCGGCTGGGTTAAACGATTTTGACAAATAGCCACATGGGTGGAGGTCTCCGTTGACGTCAGTTTGTCTTAACACCGCTCCTGTAGCCACAAGCGAGGCATCGGACTCGATGATAAAGGGTTTCGTCTTATCTGGCATGAGGAGCATGGGGGCAGAGACAAACTTTGCTTTGAGCGTATCGAACACTTGTTGGCAGTTGGGGGTCCATTCCCATATCGGTTTCTTTGTCGTCATCGTGAGGTCTGTGAGTGGTCGTACTATTTCGGAATAATGATCGATGAACTTCCTGTAGAAGTTCGCAAAACCAATGAATGCGCGGACGGCTTTCACCGTTGTTGGTTCTGACCAGTCCTGGATTCCTTTCAACTTGATCGGGTCCATTCCAATATGGTCCGGACGTATGATCATCCCAAGATATTCTACTTCTTGGGAGTCGAACGTGCATTTCTCCGGTTTGACGAACAGATCATTTTGCTTGAGTCGTTCTAGGACTCGAAGCGTATGCTGTCGATGTTCTTCCATGTTATTCGAGAAGATAAGGATGTCGTCCATGTAGATGATCATCCATCCTTCGTCGATCAGGTCCTTAAAGATTTCGTTCATCATTTTCTGAAAAATTGCCGGGGAGTTGCAAAGTCCGAAAAACATCACTGTTGGTTCGTATAGTCCTCGATTTGTCTTGAACACTGCTTTCCACTGATCACCATCTTTGATCCGTACATTGTTATATCCAGATCGAAGGTCCATTTTTGTAAAATAGCGTGCTCCCTTGAGTTTGTCGAGGAGTTCTGTGATCAGAGGAAGTGGGTAGGCATTCTTGATCGTTCCTTCATTCAAGTATCAATAATCTTGGCAAGGCCTAAGGCTCCCATCCTTCTTTCCTACGAAGAAGAAAGGGGATGCCATTGGCGATATCAATGGTTGAATATATCCTTTTCGTGTATTCTCATCTAGGAATTCATCGAGTGCCGTCTGCTCTTTAGGGGATAGGGGGTAGATCTTGCAGTCCTTTGGTACAAATTCTGGTTTTAAATCGATAGCATGGTCCCATGCCCGTGAGCTCGGGAACCGTTCTGCCACTTTCTTTTCGAAGACATCTTTGTACCCCATCAGGCAGGAGGGGATGAGCTCTTCGAGCTTCTTCTTCGCTCCTCCTGCCTTTTGGATTGCTTCTTGTACCAATTCCTGTGATTTTCCGCTAGCCTTGTAGAGCAGCGTGTCCATGCCAGTGTTACATAGCCAAGTGTTTTGTGCGATACTAAATTGCCCAGATCGCGTATCCCTCATTATCCGACCTATACAGGGTCCTGAGGTTGGTTTGTTACCACCTCGAGTTGGGCATTCAGGAGTCGCTGTATCGCCTTGTGGGTCAAAGATTGCCAGCACCGGTTCGCCTTGGATATATGAGATAAGCAATTCGCTGTCCTCCAGTTCGATCCTGTAATCGCGAATTCCTAGCTCTGGGTCTCCTGGTTTAACTCGATTTTCCAGATGTTCTGGATCGCTATTTTCCCAGGATCGTCCATTATCGTCGATTGGTCCGATATAGGGGGCATTTGCTGCCTTTTGTACCTTTGGTTCAGTATCTCGGACTGTTTCTACAGTGGGTTTTCTCCAATCGTAATCCAGTTCGCCTGTTTCCCAGTTAATCCGGGGGTTCATCGCCTGAAGCCAGGGTAACCCGAGGATAACCTCATCCTTCCCTAGGTTGGTAATGTAGTACTGGAATACTTTTTGTCTTCTTCCAGCCTTTGTACATTTCCATACGCAGTGCATTGCATATCCTAACTTGTTTGGAGTACCGTCAGCATTGAGAATCCTAATCGGTTTTGGGAGTCTCTCCTGGTGGTACTTCATTCGTTTGATGAATGATTTGTCCATAAACATTCCCCCAGCTCCTGAGTCCAATAGAGCGGAGATATCAGCGCTTTGACTCGGCACACCCAAAGTAATAGGAACATGTATCGATTTTCCCAGGAATTCGCATACAATTACATTAGGGTGGTGAGTCGGTAATGACGGTACTGACGCTGTTACAGCCCGTCGAATCCAAAATCCGATCCTTCTAGTTTCCTGATCCAGTCGTTACGTTCCTTCTGCATTTTTCGTAATTCCTGAAGTAATTCGGAGACGTCGCTGTCGAAAATGGTCGTTCTCTTGACCGATGCGGTGTCCTCTTCAACGTCTTCTATCTTCGAGGTTGAGGGTTCCCCTTTGGATTCCTCGACCTGTATCTCCTTGTGTGTTCCGGAAGTGTTTCTGGGGTTCTTCGGCTTCTTCTTAGGGCAATCGCGCGAATGATGTCCTTGTTGGTGGCATTCAAAGCAGAGTCCTCCTTTGATGTGCCTGTCACGTTCTTCTTGTGACATGCGGTCGACATCCATGACATTAGGGTCTCGTGTATAGACGGGTCCCTTCCTCTGTTGTTGCCCTTGCTTCTGCTGTTGTCCGCTAGGGCGATTGTTCTGGAATTTCATGTACATCTGCATTGACTTGGTTTGGTTGTCGATTTCAACCGCCTTCTTGTACCACCCTTCCATATCGGTGGGGAGTGGGTTGACATTCATGATTCGCTCGAGAAGTCGACGGGATAGTCCAAATTTGAAGTAATGGAGGCGTGCTGGGTATTCCGTGATTTTGGCCTTTTTCATAAGTACCAGGAACGAGTTAACGTAATCCTGTACTTCTCCCATCTGACGAAGGGATTCAAGGTCTTTCATCGCCGATCCCATGGGATCGGTCTCTTGGAATGCTTTATTGAAGTCGATGACCCATGCGTCGAAGGTTCCATAGTCCTTTAGCTTTCCTAGGTCGTCGGTGTGGTTATCGTACCACGTCTCAGCCCATGCTTCAGCTGTTCCTCCTCTCATGAAGGACATCGCGAATGCGATTTTCTTCTTGTTGCTATTGTAAATTTCGTCATTGATGTCGACATACGTCTGAACCCTTTGTAGGAATATCTTTGTTTTGCTCGTATCTCCCGAGAAGGGTTCAGGTTGGGAGAGTTTGAGTTCAGTTGGCTTTGGCATTTGCATCGTGGGAGTTGGGTTCGAAATGATGTGTCTGTGGACTGGGATCGCAGAAAAGGCTGCTGCAGGTATAAGCTGTGCGGGGATCGGTGCTGGGGCTGTTGCCTCTGCTTCTGATTCTGCTTCTGATTCTGCTTCTGCTGCTGCTGCTGCTACTGCTGCTGCTGCTGCTGCTGCTTCTGCTAGTGGATGTCCCGGGGTTATTTCGTCAACTCCTCGCTGTATTTCTGCTGGGTCGATTAGTCGGTCGACGTTTTGCCTTGCTGCAGTATATATCGTGAAGCGTTCTGCTTCGTTCGGATAGTCTCTGGTGAATTCTTCAAGAATTTTTCGGTAAGTTGCTTCGTCTGATGCAAGCCTCCAACCCAGTCTCCCTTCTCTGATAGTCGGGAGGGCTCTGAATTCTCTCGATGATGAGCCTCGGTGGATTGGATGTCCTACGTTTTCGTCCCACCTTATCGATGAAGGTCGAGGGCATGAAAATTCTTCTAGTCCTCGAAAATCCAGTGTGTCAATGTTTCTCTAACCTTTCTGCACCCCGGGTAACTTGCCCTGCTAGGTGTTTATCAGCTAAGGTTCGTCGGGTCTCTGTAAATGTAGTTCTGCGCTGAACCTGAAAAGGTTGAGCGGTATCGGATAGTCTCGATCTTATGTTACGCTGGGGCGTACCACTTGTCCGAGGTTCGTCAAGCAAGTACTAAGTCGTTCGACGACTAAGTAAATGCAAGTCAAGAATCGAGAGTCAAGAAGATCACACAAGGACTAGTGATAATCCCGTGTATTGAGAGGTAAAGTAACCAGATCGAGACTGGGGTTCCAGTCGACGATCTCAGCCTTATATACTAATAGTACATGCTGAGTAATACATGCCAGTAATGGCTGAGTCAGTGAGTACCCTCGCGGTGAGGGATGAGTCAGTGAGTACCCTCACAGTGAGGGATGAGTCAGTACAGGTTCTAGACTATGGTGTCATGGTCTAGAGAGAGTCCAGATCAAGTCGAGAGATATCGAGACTCGAAGTCTCGGGTCAATGCGTAATCGTACAATGTAATCGAAAGAAAAAAGATAGGTACTCAACGTACCATTGTAACAGTGCACCCGGAGGCGCACCCCGCTGTCCCCGCTGTGAACCACCCGATGGCGCCCATGGACCTGAGCACGCTGCTGGCACACCCCCCTTCCTCACTGACCACACACCCTGCATCCGACGTCCACGACGGACTGCCACCACCCTCCTGTGCCATCGAGCAGCCGACCTCGACGGCGCCAGCAGACCATGATGCAGCGCCACAGCATCGCACCCAGGACACCCCCGAGGCAGCAGCACCTGTGTACGATGGTGCACAGTTGCTGCCCCACCCACCCTTGTCAACCTTGTCGACTCCCCTACTATCCGTTCCACCTCCGCGAACTCGAGGGCCCAACCCTCGACTTTGCCACATCAACCGGCCCTGGCAGTGGGCCTGCCCACAGGACCCATGCCTCCCAAACCACTGCATGCAGTCTTCTCAGACACCCCCAGTTGTTGTCTATGGAACCGTAACCTGAGGTGGATCTGACGGGTTTTTTCTGGAGCGGGAGGGAGTGTGTGCATCGCACATTTATTTTATGGTATACATTCTCTTTATTTCCCTTATACATAGTGCACTTTACTTTACCATATCCCCATCTATTCCCCTTCTCTTCCTTTCTTCTCCCCTGGGTTTGTTTCTGGTAGGGGAGGGTGTAATGGGTCGGTTCTGATGACCGTTACTCGTTATGGACTGCTTACTACTTACATAAGCAAGTTGCTTTTTATCCTTTACACTCACCATCTAGCTGTACTTACTCAGTCTTAGTTTACTCTGGCTATATATTGAGTCCACTACAGCCCTGGTGAGCCTAAGGATCTAGGCTCTTTACAGTCACCTGCCAAAAATCCGCGAAAGCACAGATGGGATAATGATCCTGATCAACGTGAGGAAAGCGGGATGGACGCACCGGGCCGGCCCAGATGAACCAGAAGAAAGACAGTTCAGCATGATTACCGTCTAATGCATGACCCAGAGGCAGACGAAGATCTGGATAATGATCCAGATAAATCAAATGCCAAATTAGTCTATATTGCGATAAGCGCCCACGGAAATGTGGATGTGGACAAGCCAAAGACGCTCAGTGATGCCAAGAGATCACTCGAGTGGCCCAAATGGGAACAGGCAGTCCAGTCGGAACTCAATCAACTACAGGGTATGGAGACTTGGGAGTTAGTGGAACCTCCCGAAGATCGAAAACCCGTAGGAAATAAATGGGTTCTAGTCAAGAAAACAAACAAAGAGGGTGAAATAATTAAATACAAAGCCTGCCTGGTTGCGAAGGGATATTCTCAAATCCCAGGCATGGACTATACCGAGACGTTCGCGCCCGTAGTCTGCCTTGAAACCATTCGAGCTATCCTCGGGCTAGCTGCAATCTTAGATTGGGAGATCAGACAGATGGACGTGAAAGGCGCCTATCTTAACGGAACTCTCAAAGAAGAAGTGTACATGCGGCAACCCGAAGGATACAGTGATGGAACGTATCGCATATGTAAATTAAAGAAAACCCTCTATGGGCTAAAGCAATCTGGCCGAGAATGGAATATCGTGCTGAACCGCAAGTTACTAGACGCGGGATTCAAGCGCCTATTCTCGGATCCATGTGCATACATTCGGATCAAAGGTGATAAGATAGAAATTGTCACCGTTTGGGTAGACGACCTATTAATATTCACCAATGATTGCGCACTAATGGACCAATTGAAGAGCGAACTCCGAAATATGTTCGAAGTTACTGACCTTGGCGAACCCCGGAAAATTGTGGGGATAGAAATTGAGAGAGACCGTTCAAAGCGGACAATCAAAATCTCTCAGACAAAATATATTGAGTCTATCCTACACAAGAATGGGCTTACGAACACCAACACGGTGTCACGCACCAAAAGTGTTTGGCTTGTGAACACGTAACCACTGGTGAAGCGCTCGATGAAGAAGTCACATGACTAAGACGGAACCCGAGAACATTTGGCTGAGTGTGTCACCTGATGCTCACATTATGCTATTGGACGGGAAAAACTCGGAAAGTGCTTTCTCCCTACTTCTTCCTGCTCGCTTTATGCTATTGGACACGGAGGTCCCAAGAGTTTTGTCTTCCCTGTTTCTCCCTGCTCACTTTATGCTA